TTCTATAAAGGTGGGAGATATGACAAAATATTACATAAATTGTTGCTCTGAAGATATAAAAACTGAAACTGTCTATAAAAGTGTAAAAGACTGCAAACAGACACAATAACCACTAGTAACTAAATTGCAATGTAAAAAAAGGGTTTAAGGTGAAATTTCTGCCCTTTTCTGCAGGTTTACTTTTCCATCCATTGTTTTATAGTTTGATTCTAGTTGTCGGTTTTGATACTAAGGAATATACCTGATACTCTATGCTGATATCAATACTACAATAATAATTAAAAACACTTTATATTTAGACATTATATTGTGATTTTCAGCATTAAATAATAGTATTTTATTTGATATTACCATGCAGCCTTATATCTGTGTAATCCCACAGTTGTCCAGGTAGGTTCCATAGTGGTCCATGGGTGCATATTAATCTATGTCAGGGGTGTCCAAACTTTTTTCATCAAGGGCCACATCTCTAAACACAGACGAAGCAGAGGGCCGATCGAGGGCTGTAGACTGATGCTCAGTACAGTGAATAATTGAAATGTGTGCATGTTTAACATGTTAGAATGACCCATCAGTCCTTTATTCATGCTAAGATCCTTAAAACCACACACTAAATATTAAATATCAGCTATCAAAGTAGATGTTTAAAAAACTTGCAGTAAAAATAATGCAAGGTAATTTAGGCCAATTCACCTGGAAGTCTGAGGGCCAAAAAAATTTGTCTGAGGCCCTGGGCCATAGTTTGGACATGCCTGGTCTATGTGCTTTTATAGTTGTTCTGATACAGCCCAGGATCATTTTAAAGGTATTCAGGAAAGGTTCATTTCTGCCCTGTGAATGTTGTAGTGTTCAAATAACTCTAAATGTAGTTTTGATTCCAGTCCTAGTTTCAATTGGTATCTGATTTTTTTATACTTTTGACACTAGATTCTTGTTGTCAACCAAGTTATTTAGAGCCACTTTTTAACACATTTCAGTTTGACATAAAACCATCAGGAAGACGGTATGGACACTTTACATCTCATTTTAGATTAGAAGTTGCCCTTGATCTTTCAGTGCTGAATAATTTGTGTTATCTCATGACTGAAGAGCAGCAGGGCCAGAGGAATAAAATAAAGCAGGACGATGGCAAGTTTACTGCTTAAGTCTTCCCTATTCCCTGTGTCTCCCCTGTCTTCCATCAAGTTGAAAGCCTTTTGGAGCAAGCGCTGTTGGCCTAGTTTGATAGCATTACAGAGGATGTGAGTTTTTGAAGTAGATATATTATATGTCTGCTGTTTTAAAATCAAGAGTGTATTTTAAACATGGTGAATATTGTGTTTAATCTATATTTGTGTGAATTCTCTGATGCTTTATTGCTATGGGCTTTGCATATTTACACTACGATTGGAGGTAATGGTTGGGAGTATGCAAACATTCTGTCACTGTCTGTTGTTCGGGGATGATTCAGAACAGCAAGTGTTTGAGTACTGATAATTAGTCAAAGATATATTTGCATTTCTAATAGAGCTCAGGATCAAACATGAAAAGCTTTACTTTACTGGTCAGATCAAATGTCAAAAACACAAGGTTCCTGACTGGTAACTGAGATAAAGTGGGAAATATACATATGAAAAGTACACAAGAGCAAAAAGCAAATAAGCTGCTGAGGCACTACTTGTAAATACATGTATCACTGAGTCAGAATACTTTTGAATGACTTAATTTATCAACTTAAAATCTCCATTGTTTTAAGTTTTGTAAATTAGAGCTGTGAGATTAATCAAAATCAAATCAAAATCTGTATTTGCATAGACACTGAAGTTCTAAAATTTCCTCCACAAACAACCTGCTGATCCTGTAGTTCATATCTGCACAAACATGTTCGGAAATGTGATTCTTGTATTAGTTTATCAGTTCAGATTCCTCAAGGCCACATTTAACATGGGAACTTTGAACAGAAGCATTTTATTAACATAAATCACAACACTTGTCAAAAAAAATTTTATTCTATAATGTGTGATGACACAACTCCGAGCTCTTTTAGTTTGAATCAACATGGCTAGAGTGCAACGACTTCCAGTAGTACATTACCAAAGTACTAGTGCATATTATAAGTGCATATTATAACAATTTACAGCTAACTATTGAAGTACAACAATAGAATGGAACATATGCATCGCTTCCCTCTCTGAGTCAGACTACTTGCCCACTGACATGAGCTATTATATAAATCATTCGATCATACTTAATTACAGACGTGGGTGAATAAACTGCACTTCGGAGCTATTATCACAATAAACTTTTTACTTCAACTTGAATAATAATTGAAATCCTAGACCTCATGATGTACAGCATATGTTAGACCAGGGCTGTAAAGTTCTACTGCTACTCTAATAGATTTTTTGGATAACTGTACTTTCTGGAGCAGATTTTAAACTTGTACTGAGCACTGTGCACATCCCAATTGTACCAAAATAAGTATACACAGAAGACTTGTTGTGTTTGAGTATATTATTAGACAATAACTTCTCCCTCTCCATTGATGGTTCCTCAGTCCCCTCCTCCTCCCACCTCCGTAACCTCGGCATCCTCTTTGACCAGACCCTTTCCTTTGAACACCACGTTAAACACATCACTACAACCGCCTTCTATCACCTCCGGAACATTGCTCGTCTCCGCCCCTCCCTCTCCCCTCAGTCTACTGAAACCCTCATCCATGCTTTTGTCACCTCCTGCCTTGACTACTGCAATAGCTGCTCTGTGGTTCACCCTCCAAACTCCTCAGCAGCCCCACCTGCCTCTCTGAGCTCCTCCACCACCATACCCCCGCCCGTGCCCTCCGATCAGCTGATGCCAACCTCCTGTCTCCCCCCGCCAGGACTAAACATAAGACCTGGGGGGACCGGGCTTTCTCCGCCTCTGCTCCCACCCTCTGAAACTCCCTGCCCAAACACATCAGAGACTCATTCACACTCCCCATGTTTAAAAAAGCCCTGAAAACCCATCTCTTTAAAAAAAAAAACTTTCATTAACTGTTTTTTCTCTTGTTTGTCATTGTTTGTCTTCCCATGTAAAGCATCTTTGGGTATCTTGAAAAGCGCTATACAAGTGTTGTATTATTATTATTATTATTATTATTATTATTATTATTATTACGTAACTTTATTTTTACTCGCGTACAAATTTTCCAATGGTGGCTTTCAGAATCTAAAATGTGATCATGTCATACTCTCAGATGTGGGGCAAGAGCCAGTTTTTCCTATGGATTACACTGTACTTTGACATGAAATATATCAAATTTACAAATGTTCAACCTCATCGTTTCTATTAGTGACTAAACTAAAGAAAAATCATATATATACATTTTAGCCGCCCCCATCCGTATTAAATAATTGGGGTAACACTTTATAATAACTACACATTATTTAGCCTTAATAAAGCATGAACAAAGACTTAATTAATAATTATTCACGCTTAGTAAATGCTTAATAAATGCTTAATAAATGATAATTCGTCTTCACTTTAGAAAAGCTCTCAAAAAGTCTTAACTAACAGATAACAGCTGCCTGAATGATCATTGCATTGTATTGTTAGTAAATCATTCTCTCATAGTTTACTAATCATTAATAAATGCTCAAATGGTTAGTTCATGAGTAATTAAGTATGAAATAATTATGAGTAACTATTTACAGCACAGGCAAATTAAGTGCTAATTAAGGTAGTAATTAAGTAGTCACTAAGCGTGAATCATTATTAATTAAGCCTTTGTTCATGCTTTGTTAAGGCTAAATAAGGTGTAGTTATTATAAAGTGTTACCAACATTTGTGTAATTACTTTTTGGTTATTTCAGGGCAAAGTACAATGTTAATAATAGGAAAAATAGTCTCTTGCCCCCCCATCTGAGAGTATGACATCATCACATTCGATAGCATCTGAAACCCAGCAATACTCTTTCCACCACTGCATGAGACCTGATTGTAAGAGATCCTTCATTGTTACATGAGTAATTACATAGATTGTCCTTTTCATTAGTATTCTGCATAGCACCCTCACATTTTGCCTGTCCCTGTGTGCTCTCATTATAAATTCACAAAGTCCTCTACAGGCAGCAGAATCAGACAGCAGTTTATGAGCTGACCTCAACATATTAAAGGTCCTATATTACACAAAATGGATTCTTGTGAGCTTTAAGGCGTGTTATAATGTTGTGACCTCATCAAAAACATACCTGGTGTTGTGGTTTGTTTCATCCACACATGAGTAAGCCTTTATTATCTTCAAACCTCAAAATGCTTTGTGCCACCTTGAAAAATCATGTGGTGGTAGTTTTCAAACAGCTTTCAGTAGAGATTGATAATTCCAGAGCTGAATGGTTCTGGTGAAAATGTCTGGAGTTTAAAAAAAACAGTGGAGAATTTCTTGTATTACCAAATAACATCAATAACAATGACAGTGAATGAAACCAAACGCAACTCCAGGTATATTTTTGATGAGGAAACAACATTCTACCGTAGATCAGGAGGGCACTTCAAAGGTTATGTTTTTAATTACAAAGGAGTGAGAGAATGAGACTGTACTGGCCAATCAGATGGCATTAGCTGTCGGTTTATTCTAATAGGACACAATCACAGTGAGGTGGACATCTGGGGCCTATTTATAGTAAGCAGCATATGGGACCACTGAGAAGCTGTTGTGAGTTTTTGACCATTTGGTGTCCTGCCTGTGTATGTCCAACATCAGTCCATCCATTATAATGATTCTGTTTGCTGACTGTTTAAAGTATTAGTCTACATTTTAACCTGGAGGACTCAGACTGACACAAAGACAAAGTATTTTAGTAGTTTTATTGATTGGGTTTGGCATCTTTGGCACTCAGACCCCAGCAGAAGACATTGCGATGAAGGGCGTGACTGATTAGATTATGTTTAGGCGATGTCTTCCCCCGGGGAGTGGACACTGGAGGTGATAGAGGTGAGGCTAAGGAGTCTGAAGGGGATAATGAGATGATGAGGTGGTGATGAGAAGTTTAGGACGTAAAGGGGACGATGAGGATAAGGAGAAAGAAGAGGACAATGAGAGTATGAAGAGGTGAAGGGGACGATGAGGGTAAGGAGAGTGAAGAGGACGATGAGATCAGAGGACACAGACTGATATTCCTGCTCCTTTGTGTTTCATTTTATGGTCCTCACGTTTTGTGTGAGACTTGGACATTATTTTTTGTTGATAACACTCACCTCACCTAGTTTACATAAATGTATGCGTAAATGTGTTTTTTTTACACACTTGGACGTGTTTGTTTGATGCAATGCAAGTGTGATGGAACTAACAAGCGCCGAGTGGTTAAACTTTGCATCATGTATTTCTCTATTAATAAAATCATAATCTATTTTAATGTTCAAATCCAGTAGCTGTGGGTTGTGGAAAACTCATCTTCAACAGCAGCTCACCCAGGCTCAATGTAAGGCTGTTGTTACATCATTAAAAATGCTGTTTTGTGTATTGATTATGTTCAAGGTCAGGACATATTTGAAGTTTGGACTGTTATGCAACTGAGTTATGAATGCCATGTTCACTGAAAAGTGCAACGTAAACATGGTGTAACATCAGTTACTTAGTTCTAAGCTAGATCATTCAACCTTCGTCTAGGTATCAACCAATTTGTCATTAAAATGTGTATTGTCAGCAATGAATTTCTATTTTTCTGTATTTCTTCTTTTCAAAATACCAAAAAAACGGTTTGCCAGGTGTTGAGTTTCACATAGACATTTTTTGACAATTTCTTCAGCAATATTTGGGTATTTCCATGGTCATAAGATCAATAAAATGTCTGCACCTTCCCCCCAACTATATATCTATAATGGTAGTTGTGTTAAATGCTGTTAAAAGATTTTCATACAGGGCATAAATGTGAAAAACATGGTCCAACCTGTTTTGGAGATAAGGATGTTATTTAGTTTTATTACCTGTTTATTTAGACCGGTCAGCTTTTGATCACTGGTAATCACAGGGTCTCTCACAATTTGATATGATACTTGATACACAACTCACAATACGGTAGTACATGCAATAATAGATATATGCTGCACATAATATAATATCATTTTTAAACCACTACTTGTGCAAAGTCATGGAATCATTTTTTTGTTTGTTTGTTTGTTTGTTTGTTTGTTTGTTTGTTTGTTTGTTTGTTTTTTTCAACAAACCACAGAATAGCACTGTCACAAAATTATTTAGTGAAACATACCAAAGAATATTCTTGGTGATATATCAATACAGCAACCAGTGATAATGATACTGTGTCACTAAATTTAGTATCACGATAGACAGATCTTTCAATATTTTAGCACACCCTTTCTTCTTAGACATGTTGGTTGAATGTTCTCATGCTCTAAACTTCAGTTGATGCTTTTAAGTTGCGTTTAAAAACACACTTTTCTCACTGACGCAAGAGTATTACATGGTCTTCTGACAGTCTTTTATTGATTTTATTTTCTGTTTTTCTATTTCTGATTTTAGTATTTTTTTATTGAATTTGCTTTTTTATTTTTATGCTTTATTTTATTCAATCTGTTAATCTATATTGTGCCAACTCTGTGCAGCACCATGGAGACTTTGTGTTGGTAAATGTGCTATACAAATAAAGTTGGATTGGATTGGATTAACAGAACGTGGGTGTTTTTGCCACAGATGGTGCGGTGAGAGTAGCTGTGTTAGTGACCCTACACTGTGAGCCTGTTGGATGGGGTGCATTGTATTTGCTGATCTGACATATTGATCGGTGTTACATAGACATTAGTCGAACATGTGTTGTGTCAGAACAGAGAGACGTCCTAGTGCATTTACATTACACTGACAATGACTAAAGATAAAGATCGATGACTACACTATATCATGAAGAGTAGTTCCCTTGGTGGTTAATTAACTTTCAGCCTCTTCTCAACAGTGGCATCGAGGTATATAGCCTCACATCACCTCTATTTGTCATGAAGACAGACACATTATGTCCCAGATGTATTGTTATAGTAATATTGGAAAAGCATGTTGGAGTATGTATCAGGAATTTGTAAGTGTTCAGATAAGTGTTAGGACTCAGAAACCTGCTTCCTTATTACTATGACTAAATAAAAACCTGATGATTTAGACCAAATGAATTTCCAAGTGCACATCTGGTTTTTAGTTGAGTCTCTGTGAAAGTCTTTCTGAGAGATTCTAAATGTGCATGAATTATATCTTGTTGGTAAAACCTTATTCAATATACAATTAATTTTTTATCCTGCACTTTGAAGCTAGCACCTGGTCACTTCAATCATCATGAGCTTAGGCGGATGCTCATTTGCCTGCTTGTTAACAAGGAAAGCCCAGCTGTGTAGATCTGTGAGCACGCCCCACATTTACATATCCTTTCACCACAGAGGACAGTGACTGCGTTGGAGTGCTTATGGGGCAGGGAGCATATAGTTATCAGGCTCTGATTCACAGCTCTCCTCTCTGTGCAGCTAATTTAACATATAGAAACAGATGTTGTGATGTATTTTACTAATATCATGGCCATTATTAACTGCTCCACGTGCGCAGTACCATGGTATTCAATGTTTGTCATATTCTCATACCAGTGGTGGACGAAGTACTCAAGTTTGTTACTTAAGTAAAACTATTCAAGTTTAAAAATTCACTTAAAGACTATATTTTGAGATCTAATAATATTTCGAATGTAGTGATTTAGATTTGTGCTAGATTTTATTCAATAGAAATTACTGAATCAATCTTTTTATTCTAGCTGATTTTATTTGTTTATTTGTTGTTATATATTTGCTTAAACAATGAACGTGTTAAAAATAAACTCCTCGGCTTTTTCAGCAGGTCTCAAAAAATAAGAAAAAAAAAATTCAGTACACTTCAAAAATGTAGTAGAGTTGAAAGTACAGATACCTGCTCTCATATAGTAAAAGTCAAAATATTCACTTGTACTTAAGTAAAGTAAATATATAATAGACTACTTTAGTACTTTTACTTTGTTACATTCCACCACTGCTTCATACTCAAAATGCCTTGATCAAATTATTGCTTTGCAGAATAAACCTGCTCAGGAATAACTGTTTGGTATTGATCCCACTGACTTAGCTTGATACTGGATTGCTAATGATGACAGTTCCCATTGTTTGAAGAAAATAATTAGTAACACAGCACTTCTTCTTGTTAGACGGTCCAGATGTTTTCAGATTTTGGAGCTGTCAGAGCTTGTGTATGTGCCAGCATAATACATGTGGATCGTGTATAAGCATCTAATTGGCTATGAGATGGGGTACTGTATGTATGTTTTGACTATGGGAATGTGCTCCCCCCTCTGCTGTTTAGAGGAAGATGACAGGAGATGATTGAATGAAGGCATCCACACTCATCGATGTGTCAGATGTGCTGATGCCAGATGCCTGCTCAGCTGCTCCTCTGCTCCACACCGCCAGCTGCTGCTCTGTATTTAGGCCAGGAGAGGGGCATAGGGGGTCTAGATATAAACTTATGTAGATATATTGTTGACGAAGGGTTTCTTTTGTGTGTGTTTTCTTTTTCTTTTCTTTTTTTTTCTTTCATGAGCTATATGTGTATGTGGATGTTTGAATGCTTTTGAGGAGCTATATAGATTTATGAAAAAATTGTCTTATTATTATTTACACTATCAGATTGTATTTAGTTTGTAGTTTGTTCAAACCAGTGTGTTGTAAATATGCTACACTAACATGTGGGCAACTGCTTAGCGTAAAACCAGGACATATTTTAAATGGGGCAGTCCTGGGCCAGTTAAACCAGGACATACTGACAGAGTGATCCACCTGCAGATTTTCAAGTAGTTGTAGTTCACTACAATTTTGTTGCATATTTAGTGTAAGGAATTTTTTTATGCAATCCACAATATATGGCTTTCATATTAACTTAACAAGTAGTGGTTTAACAAAGAACTATTTTTGCTAAAATGTATTTGTTCATTAAAAGACAGCAATATATGAGTCTTGACTCATGTATCATGTATCATGTATCATGTATCGTATCAAATCGTGAGGGACCATGTGATTCCCAGCCCTAGAATAGAGCCCCATGGCAGCAGCTGATATGAATGTGACATGCTCGACTCATGTGTCTTTATTCTTGTAACACTGCTCTGTGCCTAGGTCCCTCTCCTCCTCCTGGTCCTCTCTCTGGGGGGAGTGTCTTGTCTGGACTTCAACTGCGAGACCCTCCTCATGATGGCGTCCAACCTCACAGGTCGGCCCCTTTGCTCTTTTCACATATAATATCCACACAGTACATTACAGTGCATTACTGTGCATTATAGGACATAACATTCCCTGTGCCTGCAGCAAAACTGCTGCAGATAAAGCAATGTATGTTGACCTGGTTTTCGTGCATTCTCTCTTTGTTCTGGTTTTGACCGTTGGTCATTGGTCTCCCCCGGTGCAATGGTCCTCACTGCTTCTAACATGTTGTCTATCAGTCCTGGCCAAACACTCAAATCTCTCAACTTCGAAGTGTACAAGTTTATAAACAATAGAAGCTGCTGGGGAAAATAATGACATATATCTACCAACTTGGGTACAATACAGCTGTCATACAAAGAGGGCTTTTTGAGTTTTGAGTGAATCACAATTTTGTCACTGTGCCAATAGTTTTGCATACACAAGCTGCTCCGTTACAATGAATGAACACATCATAATTTGACTACTCCAGCAAGCACACCTCACTCGCTACATGATTAACAATGAGCACACAAAGAGATGAGAGATTGTGTTTGCACCTATGCCATTGTCTCACGCATCCTTGTGAATGTTCTCGTGTTGAAGTGGGTTAGTGCTGCCCACAGCTGTAGCCTGTCTCTGGAGCTGAATATGACTCACTTCTCCACAACCTTTTGTAGAGCAGAGAAGTTTCATTCAATGCGGGAAGTAAACAACCAGCTAGAGAGAGGTCACTTTAGAGACTCTTCCATTCAGAACTGTGGTGCGTTTACAGATACGACTGCTCTAAATAAAAGTGAATGTTTTGTGTTCAGTTTCCATAACAGTAGTATGTGTGACTCAATGAACTAGTCAGAAACTCTTTGTATTAAGCCATGTAGGAATGTTGTTACCTCATCAAAAATATATCCAGAGTTGTGTTTTGTTTGATTTACAAAAGGTGAGTAACCTTTAATTATTAATCTGTCTGTCTGAAACAACCTTACATGGATCAGAAAACAGTGTGATATAGGCCCTTTAAGTGACCCGACAGTGTTATACACGACTTTTGTGATTACAATGACTCATTTTAACATGAATAATGTTTGCATTTTAATGCAGTAGTAACAGGCTTATTCATGACTTTTAGTACATAACGTCTTGTACTGAAGGATTTTTGAGGACATTACTTGTTGAAATAAATATTTTGATTTTGAAATATGAAATGCTATGGCAACAGAAGCAATTTATCATCACTCTGAAACCCACATATGCATACATCATACTCTTCATCTAATCTTTCAGATTTCAAGTTTAATATTTTTTTAAAGCTAGAGTTTTAGGAGATTTTTTTTACCCTAAATGTTAGGACCTATACATAAGATGTGTGATGTGCAATGTATGGCAAGTGTCTGTGTGGACTTACTGTGTCTGTGTTTGCAGTGAGGACAATGCTGTTCAACTTGACGCTGACCTTCACTAACACATCAGGTAGAAGATATTTCATTGTTTCCTCTTATCGCCAACTTCAGCCGTAGTCACCTTCATTTGAGCTCATTAAAATGTTCTTTGAACAAATTCAACACTGAAGTCTACACAATGGCAGGTTGAATAAAAGGTGAACAATCTCCTTTTTTCAAGGTGGAACATTCTGGTTTTTTGTTGTTTTTTTTTTTCTCGTTTTTGTGACTTAGAAAGATAGAAAACAGTGTGTGTGTGTGTGTGTGTGTGTGTGTGTGTGCACGCGCGTGCGTGCGGGTGTGTGTGTGTGTGAATGAGAGAGACGATTACAGATGACACACCAAAAATATTGTGCATGAGGTGCTTATGTTGAACCAACATCAAACTAATATACAATATGGCTTTAGTAGAAAGCTTTGACAATGCAGTCACCAGTAATCTGCAAGTAACCGGGAATATTTAGTAATGCTACTGAGTCTTACATACTGGACTGCATGTGTGCGTAGGTCTGTTCTGTGACCTGTCAGTGGATGGAATAGGGACCTGCTGGCCTCGCAGTGCAGCTGGTGAAGTTGTCTCCAGGCCCTGTCCAGAACAGTTCAATGGGATTCACTACAACACCACTGGTTTGTCCCAAATACTCACACAGCAGTAATGTGCTACAATGTATTACTACAACATTAGTAGTAGAGTTTTTGTGTGACATGTTGGCATAACTAAGTGTAGGTGAACCTAGTTACAGTATTTTCCTATTTTCACTGACAGATTTTTGGGACTTGTCCACTTCTATTATGCATAATGACATAATAATACCTGTCAAAATGGCATAAATTGAATAATATTTCTCTCTAAATGTAATAAGTCAAATAATCTGATTGCATTATTTATTTAGCTTTAAAGGTCCTGTATTATGTGAAATGAACTCTTGTGAGCTTTAAGCCATGTTATGATGCTGTAACTACATCAAAAACACATCCTTAGTTGTGTTTTGTTTAATTCACACATGTTTGAGTAGTTGTCATTTATTATAATTAGTAGCAGTCAAGTCAAAAGTAGCAGTGCAGGTGCTCTACGAGGGTTAACTTGAAATGTTAACAAAATATCGCCCTCACTGAAAAAGAAGTGGGCAAAGTACAAATCCGAGGCATACCAAGTGAATAGATTAAAAGTACTTTATTACATGGAGGGATGCGAACGCATTTTGACCAGCAAGATGGTCTTCATCAGGGCATAAGGGTGAAACACAACCCACAAGTGAAATACAATTACATATCAATCACATGACAGCATCACATGACTATAGGAAAAAGAAACAAAAAAGGTTGGCCAACCATGGGGAAAGTATAGGTGTTCTGTGGGTCTGCACTTTCCCCATGGTTGACCAGCCTTTTTTGTCGATGTGCCTCGGGTTTGTACTTTGCTCACGTTTACATTTTGCTCACGTTTACAGTAAGGGCTACATTGTGTTTGTATTTGATGTGTAAACAGCATTACAACATAGATCAAAAAATAGTGTAATATGGACCATTTAATTCCTGATGTAGTATCAACATAGCCATATGCGTGATCTCTGACCTCTGTGGGTTTCAGATCGGGTCTACAGGGAGTGCCAGTCCAATGGAACCTGGGCACTTCGAGGAAACTACAGCCAGTGCACTGAGATCATCCTCCTGGTGAGTAGTTCAGATCACCATCAGATGACCTAATTAGTTAGTTCCACCACTACATACACCAGTCTATCATTTCCACCTGCCTATTGCAGTGGCAATATGGGCTCTATCTATTGATTGATTGTTACAACAGGTAGACAGGAAACAAATTCAAAAATAAGTTCATCTGTTCTAAACGACTCAGATTCCCATTTCATCACCAAACTACATTCACATTTGTGGACAATGCTTTTGCTCAGTGAATGAATGCTGCTTCACTTTGATATCCCCAGTTGAATATTTATTTTAACCCATAAATCCTAAAGAACTGTATATGTTCGAAAATGCTTTGCAGAGTGAGCTTTTTTGTCAATCAATCAACATTAGTCTATATACACAGTTTGCTTGGCTCTGGCCATGGAGCACTTTTGAAACTTCAAAAACTTTATGTGTAATTCTACGTATCATTTAAATCAATTTCTGTGTATCTGAACATCTGCCATGTGAGCTATCAAAGTGTATTAACTGGACTTAGGTATTGACCACTAGTACTCACTTTTGACAATGAACATACAGAATGTACTGGTACACATTGTGGTAGTTGTATTATTCTAGTGTGTAAGGAAGGGTCATTCTCAAAGAAATATTTACAAAGACTAAATTGGTTGTATTGTGTTGCTGGTACTGCTGGACAGGAGAAGCACAATGCCCCAACACTCATTCTTAGGAAATTGATCTTACTAGGTATAGTGTAGTGTTATTACACTGTTTAATGACCACCTCGGGCCCAGGAAATGTCTGTAGTCTCCTAATTGGTTGCTCAAGAAGACTGAAAAATATTAATATGAATTTCTCACAAGACTAAATCTTATAAAGCTAACAACTCAAGGATATTTCATTGTGTACCTTGAAGAAAAGGGCCATTGAACTGATGAGTCAGAGGATGAGGTCTGCGTCGACAGATTAGTTCTAGTAAAAAAATCTACTACATTTGAGCTTTGGGGGGTCTTTATGAGTGGATTATTTATGTGAAAATAAGTTTTAGCAGAAAATCCTGAAGGAACAAAGTTGATAAGGTGAAGTCCAGCTCAGATCCCAGCTCTGAATATGAGTCAGTGTGAAGTGACAGCAATGCCGTGCTCTGTTGCCGTGGAGACAGTGACTCAATAACAAATAAATAAATGAAGTGACAGATTGTGAGGAACACCAGCTGTGCATTCAGAGACCAGTGCCTTTAGACTGACAGGGCTTCAGTCACTTGTCTGTACTTTTTTAAATTTACAAATGTTACCTCCTGTGTCTTTAAACTGCCCAAAGGAAATATCTCCTGGGGACTGTCTCCGTCTCATGTGACACAGACTCCAGTTTTAGTCCTGCTTGTGTGGTCCCACTGAAGCTTGTATTCAGAGGAAAATTTCAGAAATGAGTATATCCCATAAGCCCCGGGCTTTAGTGTGACTGCATGTTGTCCAATGACCCCCTCTTGTCTTTATGCATTTAGAACACAAACCAATGAATCATGAATCAGCAGGGTTTTATTATGTGTCGCTCGTATGAACATGCTCAGTACAAACGGGTTCACACCTCATCAAAGAACAACAAACAAACAGCAGATGCCAAAAAAGAAATATTTCACTCAAACTGCTTAAGTTTGAATTGTCAAAAAGCAATGAGTTCTTCTATTTAAATGTGTGCCTTGACTGTTTGATCCCACAAAATACAGTTCTGAGCTTGAAGGCTGTTTCTACCTTCCTAATGAAAGCAAATGAACTCTGAAGCACAGTAGCTGTTGCCTGGGATCCAGAATACACAATACAATATGAAGACATATCACTATGGACTTGCCTGGCAACAGTTGCTACACAATAATCAAAAGTCATGTAATTGTGCTTGTGAAACATGTCTATTGGACTAATATGAGCATTGTTAAAGGGCATGATCTGTTTCTGATCTGTCATAATGTTGTTTTCTCATCACAAATGTACCTGGAGTTGTGTTGTGTTTTTTCCACATGTGTTTTAACACAATGTATATTTATGCTGAGTTCTTCTCTCCAACAGAAAACACCCTGTTCCACCTTGTGATGTCATGTGGTAATCCAATAACACTGTGTTTTTAAACTCCATACCTTCACTAGAATAATTTGGATTGCCAGTCTCCACTAAACTAAAAATAAAATGTAGATGTTAACTTGAAAACTACCACTTCATGACATCACAAGGTGGAACAGAGCATTTAGTGCTTTGAAGATGTAGATAGACTAATAATAAAGGACTATACAAACAAAACACAACTCTACACTCTGGGCATGTTTTTGAGAAGGTTACAATATTCTAACATGTTCACAAGAGTCAATACAGGACCTTTAAGGCAAGGATCTGTAGGTTGATAAGAATTTATTTGTAATAAATTTGTAAAACAGCACCTGCCAAACAGCCTTTCACACAAGCCACCTCTTCTGTTAAAATGTCACACATTACAGTGCTGTTTACGATCTTCAACTTGCCATTTAAATAACAAACATAAAAAGAGCATTATTCATTTTGTATGTTACAGTAATATAGGTTAACTCATATCCTTTGAATTTTAACAGGTTTTCTTCAGATGCCTTAGTTTGGTCGTAAGCTGAAGCAAAATGACTGATGATTAAAAAGCAAATTACTTCTTAGGTATACTTCCATCGAACGCATATTTGTTTGGGCACGCCTTGTCAGTAATGTCAAATAATTATGGTAGAAAAACTGCCAGCCGCCCACTCTGCAGAAGTGGGTGAGATATAGGGAGACAGATTGTGATTGTGAGTTTTTAGTGACAGCGAATATTCCCAGTGTGAATAAGTAAAATATATCTTATATCTCACGTAATAGATTTAGAGTCAGGGCTTAGTTATTTCAGACAGGATGAGCCAGTGTAGGTCAGTGTTTATAACAGTCAGCACTCCTCTGAGCAGAGTACAGACCTGCAAATGTCTTTTCAGAGCTACTCCTATAGCTCTGGGACTTCACTTATCACAGCTCTCCCATTGGACCACTGCCAGTCCCGCTGTCCAATCACAACAAAGCAGTCTCTTTCTGTGGGGGGAAATCACACAACCCAACATACGGACCTACTGTGGACCATCTGCACCAGGGCATTCAGGAAAGATCTAATAAAGAGGTCAATGAAGTGGAAACCATAGAACACATGAATAGCAGAAGGAGGCTGTGTTCAAATGATCTAATCCTCAGGGGACACACGCCTGTCTACTGCACACCTTGTGAAAGTTTTGGGGCAGCAGAAATGACCCAGGAATGAAACATCAGCACAAGAACACCGTGATGTACCTTACTCAACATATTTAGAGGTGTGAACACATCTTCCACCACTATGTTTACAACCTAAGCAGATAAAGACTGTTCGCAATGACTTTTCACTTACAAACGTTCTTCCTATTCAAACTCTAGATCGTCATCCCCAATATTAGCAGGCTATTCCTTGAACTTGTTATGTAATAAGAGCAGTGCCAACTAACTAACATGCAGCCTATTTTTATGGGGACCAGTGCTGTTAAAGTAATTAAGGGATGTTGTTTTTGGAAAGGCTTATTTCTGATCATGTAGCCTTTACAATCTGTCCTGGTCAAGCACAGCTACAAGCTTGTACATTCTCATTTACCTGCTTCTGGGACTTTAGCAACATTTGTATTTGCCGTATCTCTCCTATATCTCTACTGCTAAGTAACAATCCAACTGCATACAATGGACATATTTTTATTAAGAGATATGTGAGTATTTTATTGATACTTTGCAGTGACATCGTACTGGGGGGGTTCTACTGCACATGTATTTCTAATGGTGGAATGTTTATGAGTTACCATGGTGACACAATGCACACATTAGTAAACATTGTCAAAAAAAAGTTTTAAGTCTGAAAACTCAAGAAATAATACAAAATGGATTTAAACCACGCATTATCAGGAGAATACAAGTGCTCACTGTGTTCAGTGTTGGGAAGGTTACTTTTAAAATGTATTCCCCTACAGATTACAGATTACATACCCCAAAATGTAGTTTGTAACATAATCCATTAAATTACTTAAACTGAGTAACGTAATCTGAATACTTTGGATTACTTGGTTTGCTGTAGAGAAGCAAAGACTAAGATATCTTCACATAAGATGTTTTGTCTGCTAAAAGACAAAGAAAAGAACCGTATAAAAAATATTATTGATAGAAGAGGAGGAGACATGGTCCGTACAGCATGATTTAGTCCTGTTAAATCCTGTTTTAGACCTGGTTTAGACCTGGTTTAGACCTGATTTTAGACCAGGTTTAGACCTGGTTTTAGACCTGGTTTTAGACCTGGTTTTAGACCTGGTTTAGACCTGGTTTAGACCTGGTTTAGACCTGGTTTTTGTCCTGGTTTTAGACCTGGTTTAGACCTGGTTTAGACCTGGTTTAGACCTGGTTTTTGTCCTGGTTTTAGACCTGGTTTTAGACCTGGTTTAGACCTGGTTTTAGACCAGGTTTAGATCTGGTTTTAGACCTGGTTTTTAGACCAGGTTTAGACCTGGTTTAGACCCGGTTTAATCCTGGTTTTAGACCTGGTTTAGACCTGGTTTAGACCTGGTTTAGACCTGGTTTTAGTCCTGGTTTAGCCCAAAATGTAAAAACAGGAAAATAGTGTAATCCACTTATTTCAACAAAGTAACTGTAATCCAATTACCACTCACTGAAACAGTAACTGTAACTGAATACAGTTATTCATAATTTGTACTCTGTTTATGTGACTCCAGTACATGTACTCTGTTACTCCCCAACACTGCCTGTGTTTGACTTTCAGATAAGGACATTAGCAGTTGCAATATTATGTGTCCATTTCATGTGACTTGATGTGACAAGAAGGGCATCTGTTATACAAACATGCACTGTGACATGTTCAGTGTGCAGACCTCAGCCTGTATTGACAAGTTTTACTTTTGTTCTTACAGAGGAAGAGTAACGTACATTACCAGGTGGCTGTCATCATAAATTACCTCGGACACTGTATCTCCTTGGGCGCACTGGTGCTGGCGTTCACCCTCTTTATGAGACTTAGGTGAGCATTGATCCCTTTACAACTGTGCAGTGGTGGAACATAACGAAATACATGTAGTAAAGTACTGTACTTAAGTATACATTTTAAGTATCTGCTATCTACTTTAGTTACTTTTTACTCTTACTTCACTACAGCTTTGAACTGAACCGAAAAAATAAAGGAATATTTTTATTATTGTGTGAGACCTGCCTGAGGGGGTTAGTTTTAACATGTTCATAGTTTGAGCAAACAAAAATATACAAATAAAATCACTACATTTTAAGTTTTATTAGATCTCAAAATGTGCACAAAATACTTTTATTTTAACTCTTTCAGCATTTTTTTAAACAGGTACTTTAATACTTAATTGATTTTGTCATGCCATACTTACACTTTTACTTGAGTATTTTTTTGCTCCAGTTTTGGACTTCTATTTAGCAACAAACAGTGTTGGGAAGGTTACTTTTAAAATGTATTCCCCTACAGATTACAGACGTAATCCATTAAATTACTTAAAGTGAGTAACGTAATCTGAATATTTTGGATTACTTGATATTGTCATGCTTTTTAAAACTACATGAATGTAGTAAACACATCCTGAAAATTCTTGTTTTTTCTCTTCAAATTGTCTGTTGAGCCCAAGTCTCCATGAACAGACTTTTGTTTTACTGTAGAGAAGCAAAGACGAGGATCTGAACATAAGATGTTTTGTCTGTTCAAAGACAATAAAAAGCCTAGTCTTTCCTTAACCAGATTAAGATATTATTGATAAAGAAATAATTTTTATATGAGATCACCTTAAATTATGTCCACCCTACTGTTAGGTGTCATATTGTTTAGTCCTGGTTTAGTCCTGGTTTTACACCTGGTTTAGACCTGGTTTAGTCCTGATTTAGACCTGGTTTAGTTCTGGTTTTACACCTGGTTTAGTTCTAGTTTAGACCTGGTTTAGTTCTAGTTTAGACCTGGTTTAGTTCTAGTTTAGACCTGGTTTAGTCCTGATTTAGACCTGGTTTAGTCCTGGTTTTACACCTGGTTTAGTTCTAGTTTAGACCTGGTTTAGTTATAGTTTAGACCTGGTTTAGTTATAGTTTAGACCTGGTTTAGTCCTAGTTTAGAGCTGGTTAATTCTAGTTTAGACCTGGTTTAGTTCTAGTTTACACCTGGTTTAGTCCTGTTTAGTCCTGGTTTTAGTCCTGGATTAGTTCTAGTTTAGACCGGGTTTAGTCCTGGTTTTAGTCCTGGTTTAGCCCAAAATGTGAAAACAGGAAAATACCATTGTGTAATCCATTTATTTCAACAAAGTAACTGTAATCCAATTACCTCTCATTGAAACAGTAACTGTAACTGAATACAGTTACTCATAATTTGTACTCTGATTACATAACTTTGGTACGTGTAATCTGTTACTCCCCAACACTGGTAACAAAACTGAGTATTTCTTCCACCACTGCACTTATGTGAATACAAATGTTTTTAGTAGTGTACTACATGTTGAAATAATGCAACTAGACCTCGCTATTAAGATGTCAAACCAATTGTACCAAGCCTAAAAAGTAGTTATTAGGTCATGTGTATGAAATAAACCATGAAAAAAATTGTAGATTGTAGATAGAGGAATGACAAATTTTTGACCACCTCCAGTAGGTTTTAAGTGTATTTCTTCATAAATATCTCAGATATTTGTAAACCTTCTGCCTCAGGAGCATCCGCTGTCTGAGGAACATCATTCACTGGAACCTCATCTCAGCTTTTATCCTGAGGAACGCTACATGGTTCATCGTCCAGCTGACCATGTCCCCCACGGTCACAGAGAGCAACCCGGTAAATATAGCAGATGCTTAATGTCCAAAATTAGATGCAACATGAGACTTTAATGTTTTATATAGTGGTTCAGATTGCGCCACTAGCTCTATTGGTAGACTGTTTTCCACTGATGTGAAGGTTGATGGTTCCATTCCCCTCAGTTGGGGTTTCCTATGTAATCCACCTTGCCTTCAGTGTCTGTCTTTATTTATTTAGTGTAAGGATCCCTACTTTTCCTGGGAACGTATTTCAATGAATTATAGTAATGTACATCAAATTTAAATTATAGTACGGCATTACATGAACAATAGAAAAATCCCTGTCTCTTTGAACACTACACACATATCCACTTAAAACACTAGTCTTTATCCTCCACTTTTATATTAATTTGTAGTTTGTTCAAACACTATACCATTAGGCAAGGCAAGTTTATTTGTATAGCACAATTTGCACACAAAGTAATTCAAAGTGCTTTACAGAATAAGAAATACATTAAAATCATAATAAAAACTAATCAAAACATAAATAATCATAAAGAAAAGAAGAGAGAAGAGTGCAGAATGAAAACCTTTCATTACTGCCCAAATATTCTTTCACTGATAGCGGGTGAGTTCCAAATAGGAGGTGAGCATGGAGGTGTTTCCGGCTCCATCACCTCTGGCTCCAATTGACTTGATATTGAAAAATTGTTAGCCCTCTCTCTGTAACTGCTGCAGTGAACCTCGTCATTTTAGCCTTAAAATGGTCGTATTACCCTGCTCTACAGGACCCTGGAGTTTTTATTCCGTTATAGGAAAAAATGAGATTATAGCATTTTAGCAGTTCATGTGGACAAAAGGGATATAAAGGTGAACATGCTCATCTTGAGCAAATTTTACTCACAAGCCAAGAGCAAAAGTGTAAGTGATATTCTTCTAACTACTATGACTTACCTTTACCCACCTATTTACTTATTTATTTTCATATATAATATTAAAATGTTATAACATATATAAACCCTTTATTATTAGTCTGTCTAAAGTATCTAATTATGAAGTGGTAGTTTTCAAGTTAACAACTAACTTTACTTTTTGTTTAGTAAAGACAGGAAAGTTCAGGACTGAAATTATCCAAATAATTCTAGTGAATGTTTATGGAATGTAAAAACACAGAGGAGCATTGCCTGTATTACATATTGTCCGTAAATAAATTCCTATTCCTAATATGGAACTCAGCTCCTATAACTGCTAGCCTCATGAACGAACGCTATGGATGACGTCACACTCCTTTCGTCCTCACTCCCCTCGTCCTCACTCCTTTAGTCCTCACTCCCTTCGTCCTCACTCCTTTAGTCCTCACTCCCTTCGTCCTCACTCCTTTAGTCCTCACTCCCTTCGTCCTCACTCCTTTTGTCCTCACTCCCTTCGTCCTCACTCCTTTTGTCCTCACTCCCTTCGTCCTCACTCCTTTAGTCCACACTCCTTTAGTCCTCTCTCCTTTCGTCCTCACTCCTTTCGTCCTCACTCCTTTCGTCCTCACTCCTTTCGTCCACACTCCTTTCGTCCACACTCCTTTAGTCCACACTCCTTTCGTCCTCACTCCTTTCGTCCACACTCCTTTAGTCCTCACTCCTTTCGTCCTCACTCCTTTCGTCCTCACTCCTTTCGTCCTCACTCCTTTCGTCCTCACTCCTTTCGTCCTCACTCCTTTCGTCCACACTCCTTTCGTCCACACTCCCTTCGTCCTCACTCCTTTCGTCCACACTCCTTTAGTCCACACTCCTTTAGTCCACACTCTTTTCATCCTCACTCCTTTAGTCCACACTCCTTTAGTCCTCACTCCTTTAGTCCACACTCCTTTCGTCCTCACTCCTTTCATCCTCACTCCTTTAGTCCACACTCCTTTAGTCCTCACTCCTTTCGTCCTCACTCCTTTAGTCCTCACTCCTTTAGTCCACACTCCTTTCGTCCTCACTCCTTTTGTCCACACTCCTTTAGTCCACACTCCTTTAGTCCTCACTCCTTTCATCCTCACTCCTTTCGTCCACACTCCTTTAGTCCTCACTCCTTTCGTCCTCACTCCTTTAGTCCTCACTCCTTTAGTCCACACTCCTTTAGTCCTCACTCCTTTCGTCCTCACTCCTTTCGTCCTCACTCCTTTAGTCCACACTCCTTTCGTCCACACTCCTTTCGTCCACACTCCTTTAGTCCACACTCCTTTAGTCCTCACTCCTTTAGTCCACACTCCTTTCGTTCTCACTCCTTTCGTCCTCACTCCTTTAGTCCACACTCCTTTCGTCCTCACTCCTTTCGTCCTCACTCCTTTCGTCCTCACTCCTTTAGTCCACACTCCTTTAGTCCACACTCCTTTAGTCCTCACTCCTTTAGTCCTCACTCCTTTAGTCCTCACTCCCTTCGTCCTCACTCCTTTAGTCCACACTCCTTTAGTCCACACTCCTTTCGTCCTCACTCCTTTCATCCTCACTCCTTTAGTCCTCACTCCTTTCGTCCTCACTCCTTTAGTCCACACTCCTTTCGTCCTCACTCCTTTCGTCCTCACTCCTTTCGTCCTCACTCCTTTAGTCCTTACTCCTTTAGTCCACACTCCTTTAGTCCACACTCCTTTAGTCCTCACTCCTTTAGTCCTCACTCCTTTCGTCCTCACTCCTTTAGTCCACACTCCTTTAGTCCACACTCCTTTCGTCCACACTCCTTTAGTCCTCACTCCTTTCGTCCTCACTCCCTTCGTCCTCACTCCTTTAGTCCACACTCCTTTCGTCCTCACTCCTTTCGTCCACACTCCTTTCGTCCTCACTCCTTTCGTCCTCACTCCTTTAGTCCACACTCCTTTAGTCCACACTCCTTTAGTCCACACTCCTTTAGTCCTCACTCCTTTAGTCCTCACTCCTTTCGTCCTCACTCCCTTCGTCCTCACTCCTTTAGTCCACACTCCTTTCGTCCTCACTCCTTTAGTCCACACTCCTTTAGTCCACACTCCTTTAGTCCACACTCCTTTAGTCCTCACTCCTTTAGTCCACACTCCTTTAGTCCACACTCCTTTAGTCCTCACTCCTTTAGTCCTCACTCCTTTCGTCCTCACTCCTTTAGTCCACACTCCTTTAGTCCACACTCCTTTAGTCCTCACTCCTTTCGTCCTCACTCCCTTCGTCCTCACTCCTTTAGTCCACACTCCTTTAGTCCACACTCCTTTCGTCCTCACTCCTTTCGTCCTCACTCCTTTCGTCCTCACTCCTTTCGTCCTCACTCCTTTAGTCCTCACTCCTTTAGTCCTCACTCCCTTCGTCCTCACTCCTTTAGTCCTCACTCCTTTCGTCCACACTCCTTTAGTCCACACTCCTTTAGTCCACACTCCTTTAGTCCACACTCCTTTAGTCCTCACTCCTTTAGTCCACACTCCTTTAGTCCTCACTCCTTTAGTCCACACTCCTTTAGTCCTCACTCCTTTAGTCCTCACTCCTTTAGTCCACACTCCTTTAGTCCACACTCCTTTAGTCCTCACTCCTTTAGTCCTCACTCCTTTCGTCCTCACTCCCTTCGTCCTCACTCCTTTAGTCCACACTCCTTTCGTCCTCACTCCTTTCGTCCTCACTCCTTTAGTCCACACTCCTTTCGTCCTCACTCCTTTAGTCCTCACTCCTTTCGTCCTCACTCCTTTAGTCCACACTCCTTTAGTCCACACTCCTTTAGTCCACACTCCTTTAGTCCTCACTCCTTTCATCCTCACTCCCTTCGTCCTCACTCCTTTAGTCCACACTCCTTTCGTCCTCACTCCTTTCGTCCTCACTCCTTTCGTCCACACTCCCTTAGTCCTCTTCTTTATACAGTCTATGGTTTTATCACAGTTTTCAGAGATTTGTTTTGGAATGTGACTGCACTCGTATATACCTCATACTTTTCAAAGCATTTCAATTCAATTTTGGTAAAGTAAGTTTCCTTCTCATTCCATATATAGCATAAAGGCTGTCGAGGTTTCATGTATTTATTTAAAACCATGTGCTGTGTGAACTGGTGTATGTATGAATGTGTGGAATGGGTGAGTTTCCCTTGATGTGTTTTTAGCACCCAGTAGAGATAAAAGTGTTGCAGTTAGGAGTCACGCAGGTTCACCCCAGACGAGGAAGTGTGTACAAAGACATGTCCAAATTAGAGTTGTTTTTCCATTTGATTTGTCGCCGTTTGAGGCCACTTTCTGCAGCAGCGCTATAAAAATGTCTGCTTACCCACATTTCCTTCTCTCGTTGTGTGTGTGCCCTCAGGTGTGGTGTCGACTGGTGACCTCTGCTTATAACTACTTCCATGTGACCAATTTCTTTTGGATGTTTGGGGAAGGATGTTACCTACACACAGCTGTGGTGTTGACGTACTCCACTGATAAGCTGCGGAGGTGGATGTTTCTGGCCATCGGATGGGGTAAAAACATCTTCTAACAAAGGTCCTATAGGCGCGTTGCATGCTGGGAATTATTTTGGTTGGCGACAAGAAACACTAATTCAACATGACGGACGGAGTGAGAAAGCACGTGAAGGGTATTGATCCCGGTTATTTATCCACTCTAACGGCAGAGAACCCAAGACCATTTGACCAGAAATTGGTCAGAAGCATCGATGGACGCTAAATCACACTTTTCAACCCCTACAAAAGGTGGACCAAACCAAATTTCTGGTCGGAATCGCCAACTACCTGGACAAATATTCACTTGGGCGATATCCACAATGACTTGGTGGAAACTCCTGGGCCGTTCACAACAGAAAAGATGAAAACCTCCAAGAGTCTCGATGTGTTGTTGAACTTGTTGGAGTCCACAGTTTGCTAGGATCTTCTACGTTTGCTCTGTGGATGTTTGAAAGCCGTTTAATTCACCGTTAGTGGTTCTTTTCACTGGGAATACGAAAAAGACATTTTCCTTCTTCCGTGCTTCTATTTGTGCATCTGATAATGCAGCAGGAATTGCCCATTATCGGGGAGAAATACATGAGGTTACGCGCTGTGTTTGCCTCTGACCAAAATATTTCCCAGCATGCAACGCGGGCTTTTAATAACAATGACGTCAGCTCAAACTCGCCTATATTATGCACAATTTACTCTTGTTATCTTTTACCCATGTTAGAATGTTGTTACCTAATTAGAAACATACCCAAAGTTGTGTTTTCATTCATGCTTTAATAATCCTTGATTAGTCTGTCCACAAAGCTCCAAGTGCTCTGTTCAACCTTGTAATGTCATGATGTGGTCATTTTCAAATTAACAGCTACCTTTTACCTTTTGTTCAGCAGAGATTGGAAATTACAGGGGTGAAATTATCCACCTGATTTAATGAAGGTGTATGGAGTTTAAAGACACAATGAAGCACTTCTTGTATTGCCACATGACATCACAAGGTGGAATGTTTTCTGTTTGAGAGAAGAACCAAACCTAAATATGCAGGCTTTGTGTGTTAAACATGTGTGAATAAAACAAAGGTATTTTTTGGGTATTTTTTTGATGAGGAAACAACATTATAACATCGATAGATAGATAGATAAATAGATAGATAGAAAAAGAGCGTAATATGGGCCCTTTATAACTGTTATACTTGTAATCACCTAATCACTATTTATACTGTTTTTTTATCATAGGAATTCCACTGCCTATCATTGTGGCCTGGGCTTTTGGGAAGCTTTACTACGACAATGAAAAGTGAGTTCACAATCTGCTAATTGGGTCCAGTCAAGTGGTAACGGAGGGAAACAGGGGCAGATTTTTGACATTCAAATGTCTCTTATTCAGAAACTAGAGGAACTATTGAAATAAGTAAAGTATCAGAATGTAGGAAAGAGTTACACTCCAAAAGGGTCAAGTTAAACTCAAATATAACGGATTCCAGGCACTCCAAAACAGTAGAAAAAATTTACACATCGCACGAGGAAAAATATAATTAAAAGGCATTTATTTGAATGGCCAAAGCCAACATGTTTCGACCTTAACTGGTCTTCATCAGGGTTTCATTGCTGATGACCATATGGTTCAAAATTAGGTTGAAAAACCTCTTACTTTTTGACTAATGAGATTTTTTATTAAGAAAGGTCATGGTAACAGAGGGAAAAGTAACGGAGGGAAAATTGTACAAACAAGTAGAAGGTGCAGGATTTTACATCATTTTTCAGCTTTTTTCTTCTGAATACTTTAATATTACTTCAAAATGAAAGGAAACTATTTCAAAAAAATATGTCAGTCCTTCCAAGCTAATTTTTATCATTTTAAATACATTTTTTTTTGAAAAATCATGTACCTTCATCAACAGTTCAAAGATGGAATAACACAAGATATGATGAAATACATCCATTTATTGACATGATTTGCAGGTCTTTGAAATTTGGGAAATAATTTTTGTTCCATGTTTCATACATGGTCTGTTTAAAACATATGGAACTTTAGAACCAAAAATGGTACAGAAAAAAGGTCAACAGTTTCATAAACTAGAGTACATATGTATCTGTTCAATACATTTTTATATCAGATGCATTAACTTGAATTTTTGGCCTTGCTGTTTACTTCTGCTTGACCGGGCCCATTTGTTATTGTGACAGGTATATCATTAATGTAGTATTGTGAAATGTTTTAATGTGTTTTCTGGAGTTTCCATACTGAAGGTGTGAGACAGGCCTTTACTCTGACAGTGTTTAAATCCAGGCTAAAAACTCTTCTGTTTAGCTGTGCATATGACTGAAAGATTTTTATTTTGTACTCTTCTCTTTTAATGTTCATTATATTGCAATTATTTATGTTTTGATTTGTTTGTATTGCCATTTTAATGTCTGTCTTAATCTGTAAAGCACTTTGAATTACTCTGTGTACAAACTGTGCAAAAATACATGCCTTGTCTTCCAATAGTTGATTTGTATTTCCAGGTGCTGGTTTGGGAAAAAGGCTGGTGTATACACAGACTACATCTACCAAGGCCCAATGATCCTAGTTTTGTTGGTAAGAATTAAAATAAACACTGTGAGGTAATTTTCAGATTGACTCAGATTTTTAGATAGACTGATTTCATTCACTTTGAACATTAAACAAATTTTGAGAAACTAATTATGAGGAGTCACAGTGTTAAAATCCATACATATGTCATGTTTTTTTACAGATTAATTTTGTATTCCTGTTCAACATTGTGAGGATCTTGATGACAAAGCTCAGAGCGTCCACAACCACTGAGACTATACAATACAGGTACATTTTCCCTGAACAGCCTGATGCTGTGTTCATTTTACTGACGTACATTTAAAGAACTACTGTGTAACTTTTTAGACAAAGTAAACAAAAACATACGATTTTTTTTGTTTGTTTTTGTTTTTTGTTGCACTGAAATATAATATAAAAGTGATATAGAGTATAAAAACATGTGTCCTTACTCTGAGCGGGCTTGCATCTCCATAAACCTGACTTTTACTTGGTCACCTGGCTGGCTTCATGGACATGTTGTTCCCCTGGCTATGACTTTCCATAATATATCATAAAACACATTTATGTCCATGTAGAATGTATGTATGTCTCCTATTTTCATGGAATCATACAGTTGACTTGCAACCTTCGGACAGTTACGCCAGGTTACTTTAAGTTGATTTATTTCACTACTATTTTATTAAGTTTAGTCTTTATTCGAAGAGACAATGTACAGAGACATTAAACTCATAGAGACAGAGATGTTCCACACCAGATTATATTTTAACAGCTACTTTCCCTCTGCAGTCCCTGATTTACAGATTAAATTATACAGTCAGTCAACAATAAGAACTATTCACATTCACTGTTCACACTCACACATCATCACACATGTACAATACAATCATGCATCTCAACAAAGGGTTATGTATTTACAAAGTTGTGAGTTTCATCTTATAAAATACATATTAGCATATTTTAGGAGGGTACATGACTTAGATTCAAACTTTTAAAAGGGGACAGATAAAAGTTTGGTACCCGCTACAGGTAGCCCTCTTCAGAACACCTAATCCCAGACAGCAGAACAATGGGCTGATAGTGGTTTGTTCATCATTCACAGAAAGGCAGTTAAAGCCACCCTGGTCCTGTTGCCTCTGCTGGGCATCACATACATGTTATTCTTTGTGAATCCTGGAGGAGATGACCAGCTGAGCCAAATTGTCTTCATTTACTTCAACTCCTTTCTGGAGTCTTTCCAGGTAAAAGACACCTCTAAGATCAGTATTTGTCTGGGGGTATTCTAGCTTGTGATCTAAATATATAAGTTTGTCCTCTTTCCTCAGGGGTTCTTTGTATCTGTGTTTTATTGCTTCCTGAACAGTGAGGTAAAGTTAATCTTTATTTGCCACAAACTCTTCTTTAGAATATTAATTTCTACATATACGCTGCATTCTTTAATAATTCCAAGAGCTTCCAGGTTTATTTGGTTGTTTTGTATCCCAGGTGCGGTCCGCTGTGAGGAAGCGCTGGCTCCGGTGGCAGGACCAGAACTCCATCCGCAGTAGAACCATGAGGGCCACATCCATCCCCACTTCTCCCAGTCGAGGATCTTTCCACAGCATCAAACAAACCTCTCATCTCTGACCTTAGCTTCATCTATACAAACTTTCTTAAAGGTGCACTATAACTTTTTGGGTGTGGGGTTCCACTATCTGCTTGTCTCCATGGGAATTCTATTGCTTTTCCTGGAATATTGCACAGCACGGAGTTAAACAGATCTAATGCTGAACAATACCAGAAAAGCATGTGTTCTTACTGTGAATGGGCTCATCTCTCTACAGATCAGACCTGTAATTGCCATTTACTTGTCTCCATGGAGAGAGATTAGTTTAATGTCACACTGTGGAACATTCTTGGTCAAGCAGTAACCCTGCAATTGAGGTAGGTACTATACCCTCCATCACAAAAGTTACACAGCACACAACAAATAACAATGTTATTTACAACTGGATGAGCCTTAAAGACTTATGGGTCATCCAGGAGTGGGTCCTTATTTATTTATGTTCTTTTCAACTCTGAGCCATCCCTATTTCAATGTGAATGATGTCCTGTGTAATCAGTCCTATATAAACTGTATATATGTTACTATGGGTTACATCTTAACCATTTGCCTACATGCACTGCTTCTGTCTGTATAGTGCAGGGGTCTCCGGTCTTTCTCCAGTGAGCTATCTTCAGAAAACAAAAATGCCAGAGAGCAAGTAACTGAGTAAATATAAGAGCCACAGCTTCACATGGGGAACAGTTAGACGCCTATAAAACAACCAATCGTTATTTATTTATTAGTGCACAACATTATGCTTCAAAATGATACATTTACACCAGTAAAAGGCATTTAATCAGTCACATTGTTATTTAGCACGAGGGTGAAGAGCTACTGATAGGGCTCGAGCTACAGGTTGGAGACCCCTGGTATAGTGTATATATAATGGCCTGGAGCCTGTATAGGTGTATATTTCTTTTGATTGAATATAAAACAGCAAGTATCGATTGTTCTTAGAGACTAGTGTTGTAATGTCAGTTAACTAATGCTACAGTATTTGGGTCAAAGAATGGCAATGCCGTGTGTGTTACCATATCTCATTTTTTGTTACATTTGGGGACCAGGTTTGCCTACATGTGTGCCGGCTTACACTCCTCAGTTCAGGGAATAATAGACTATGTGTACATGGTATTTTAGCGCTGTGTTTACATTTGAGGAATGTTATGGAAACTTTTGTTATATTGTACAATACAATACAATACAAAACACAGCGGGGGCATAGAGCCTAGTTGCATAGATACACTTTTTAGGATACTGTAGAGTTGCTATAAATATTTATATTATGCATTGAAAGTTATTCTGAGCTGAGATGTAATGAGATGTTAATGTGCCCAGGCACTTACTCAGGAATTACAGGGAATAATGACATTCATAACATGCATAGCTGATAAGAATCTCAAATGCATGGGCAAGACAAACAAGTCCATGAATAAATTTAACTTTTTGTAGGTGCTGTATTAGAGGACAATGTAGACATAAGGTCTCTTTGCCAAACTGTTATAAAACTCATCACCAGCTCTACCCATATTTATTTTAGTGTAGATTATAATAGTCATTAATTGTGTGTGTAATTATTTGTGTAATTTATAAGGTTATTATTCTTTAAATATAAGAATAAAATATAAATGTTCCTGTGTAAAGTGTCACTGAAATTATCAATAATACATTCACTATCTCAGCACATTTGTCTTTTGCTAAGAACTCAGTATTGGTGGATGAAACAAAAGCATCGTAGTTAAAAACTATATTTATTATAAAAAAAGAAAACATTAAATACATCAGCTTTGACTCTGGGATCTGTTGGCCTTAATGGTGTGTACAAAAAGACATGTTCTGTCTATGGCTATTTAAAATCAACAACAAAGAAAACAGTTTCTCACGGTGTATATCTCTGTAGTAGCTAGTACAGTGCATGTCATACTGATAATCCTATTATAGTCCGAAACTCCCCCGATCATCAGACCATCGATGAGCTGCTGGAGAACCACTGGAAGATAGTTAGACAGTGGTCAGGTTTCAGCACAAATGTCCAAAAGGGTTCATTACTTCACATAAACTCACCGAATTGAGGAATGGTAAATTCAGAGCTGACAGCACAAAACTCAAAGCTACAGGGAAGAAGGACCTGCAGAGACAAACGACGTGCTAGTCAAAGCGGCAGCAATTCATTGGGGGAAACAAAAGTAGATTTGAAAAATGGGTTTGATGTTATTAAGTGTAATACATGAACAATTAAATATATATTTTAATCAACAAACTATTTCATGATACTTTACACAACCTGGGTTTCTGTTCTTATGTTTTAACCACTCCTAAAATAATGTATGCATTATGTTGAAAGCCCAGCGCTATTTCAATTGTTTATATAACTGCTGATCAAAGAGCTTTTTACTCTACGATTACTTTCAGTTTTATATGTTACTGAACATCTGTAGTACAAAAGTGATTTTTTTATAGCATTTGCATATTTTTGGCCATGATCTGTACTTATGTGACGCATGAGGAAATGATTAGCAAACCAGGCTGCCTGTCCTGATACATAACACTGTTTACATTTTAAAATGGTTATGAAAACAAACAGCTCTATCTTCAGGTGTTTTTGTTGTCAAGGCTGCAATTCAAAGGAGAAAATCTTGACAACAGCATAAAAAGGAATTCATTGCTAATTAAGATAAGAGTCAATGCCATAACATAATAGGTCTGTATCATTTGAATGGTGAAAGGGAGTGTAACATAAATAAACAGCACAGCGCAGAAGTACCTGTGTGGTGTAATTAGTTATAAAAACTTCCTCATTAATACTACTACTGCTTAATTGTTTTTTTTAGGTTATCTTGTCACGCATGCTGCCCCTGGTGAATGAATTATGGGTAATTACAGTATCTCTTAATTAAACGTTAAGTGTTTGTCAAGGGTGTAGTAGTCATCATTGCCATCGACCACACAATGTAAATGAATCAAGAAAGTAACTTGACTTTATGATCTGTTTCTATTAAGTGTGATCTTAAAGCCAACAATATTAATTTTATGGCTTTAAGATCGTACTCAATACAAACAGATCATAAACTGACATTGCACTGAGCTGAAGGCAAACCAAGACCTATTTTTTATCATGTGTGTTGTTTTAATTTATTTCTATATTAAAGTTATCATCTGTACTTAGATTTCCAGCTCTGTTGTACTCTCACATATCACCACTAGATGCTAACTACATCACTGCTGTCTGATCATGTGTCAGCACTGGCCTGACAGGTCAAGAACAGAGAGTAAAGGTGAGCCTGAGAAAAGGCCAGGAGGGGAAACAGGTTTCACACCTGCCATCTACTCCTCAAATAAACTCAATCAAATAAACTTAAAGACGGTAGCGTTAAATATAAACATGTTTTACTGTACTGTTATTAAAGTGTAACTTAAAAAGGGCCTGTACCTGATTTTAAATTCTTCTGTATGAGATTAATTATATTGTAAATGTAAAAGATAATTGAGGAGAAAAGGGACTAAACAGACAAACCTATGCTTTTTAAACTTGTATTTTGTTGGGTAATAACTAATAGAGAAGTCGTTCTTTTTGGATCAGGAACACTGTTAACAATCATGGGAAATAACTGACTGATACTATGCAAAATAGTTCTTTGTCATTTTCAAGAATGAGAATACAACACATAGAGGTAGAGTTTGCTGGGAACCATAGAAACAACTACATGGGACAGCATCAGACGGCTGTTTCTGTGTCATGGTGCAGAATCACAGTAAAGGATTAAGTGTGCGCACTCACACATGTTTGTCACAAACCAGGTACAGGTCCTTTAATTAATCACATTGACTACTGCCCCCTACCTGAATAAAAGCACAAAGCCATAACATTCTGCCGCCATGCCGATGATGGGCCAGCGGCACAGCACCAGAGCGACCCCTCCCAAGAAGAACAAAGAGCCCCTGAACTTGTGTCTCTGGAAGAAGAAATGCACTGTCCTCCTGACGCCTGTGATGAACGTCAGACCACACAGAAATAGGATCTGCAGTGGACAGGAGAAGCAATTTAACCATCAAACTTTGGACACAATACCATGTAAATAAAACATGTCTTTCAAAGGCTGAACAAGTGTTAGGGTTGAAGGGACCAGCTAGAACTGAAAGAGTAGAAATTATGAGTTCTCATAGGCCATTATGTTCAAATGAAATATTACTTTTACTAATAGTTGTGTAGATGAATTCACAAATGTTTAAATAATGGATTATCCAGTCTAAACATTTACAGGATTGCAAGTTACCAGTTAGTGATCATCTTTAAAAGTGCTGTCTTTTATCTGAATTTTCACAACAAAAACTGGATCTACATAAATCAGAGTTGAGTTTTGAAAAGCCAAACTGCTTTTAGATGAGGACTGTGCTCATTCAGACGTGATTCAGAGAGTGGACTGTGTCATGAGTCAGAGTCCACCTCCTGCTCTGAGCTTATCTGAGCCTTCTCTCCTCACACATGATTAGACCAATGAATGAAAAACTTCTTAGTCTATTCACAAATGTAGAGGAGTCAAACCATATGTAAAATGGATCTGGGTATGAGCTATAAATCATCTAAAGTTATTTAACTTGAAGCAAAGATTTTGTTCACAAACAATTCTCAAACAAACAATATAGTAATGCATTTTCTTGTTAAGGCTTACATTTCCAAATGCCAACAGGACAGAATCGAAGTACAGCAGGACTCCAAAGAGAAGAAAGAACAAGCCAAATCCCATCAAACCAACACCTATCTCTGTAAAACCAGCATATTAAACATACAGAATACATACATACTTGATGATTGAATCATTAATATTCCACGTGTCAGTGAGTGTACAGAAATATCATCTTATTTGAATAATTGAGTCAGCACAAGGTTAAAGGGCCCATATTATGCAATGTTCAGATCCTGTTATAATATTGTTTCTTCATCACAAACATGAGGAAGGAAACAAAAAAAACAACCCAAGGTATGTTTTTGATGAGGTAACAACATTATAACATGTCTAAAAGCTCACATGAAGCCATTTGCTTAAAAAAGGATCTATATAATACTTGGGATATAGTCCTTTCATGTCACTTGTAGTTGTAGAACATATTTCTAATATTAAAATAAGAAATTTGAAAATAAGAGCACTCACTCTGAAACTCAGTGATGGCCACCATGTTGAAGTTCAGCTGACATCAGAGTCCTGGTCGTGTCATGTGACCTTTGTGCTGTTATGGTACACTGAGATAATCATTAACCATGGGCTCAGTGAGGTCATGATTCAGACATATACAGTACTTTCTCTATCCATGCGACCTTTTATATGTAGGAACTTTGTTGTTTTGTTGTTAAAGGGTCCATATTATGCTATTTTCCTCATCACAAACATACCTGGAGTTGAGTTTTGTTTAATTCACACTTGTTTAACTCACAAACTCTTCATATTTAGGCTGAGTTCTTCTCTCACATGAAAAACACTCTGTTCCACCTTGTGATGTCATGTGGTCACTAGAATCATTTGGATAAATTCAGCCCTGGAATTTCCCATCTTTACTGAATTAAAGGTAAAAGGAGCTGTTAACTTGAGAACTTCCTCTTCATGACATCACAAGGTGAAACAGAGCATTTTGAGGTTTGGAGATGTAGACAGACTAATAATAAAGGATTACTCAAACACATGTAACTTCAAAAGTTGAGGGTCCTCTACAAGTTTGTCTCCATGGAGATGTTATTTCTTTGCATGGAATGTTCCACAGTATGGCATTAAACATACCTGGTTTGCATTTATTCAATTACAGGTGTTTTATAGCTCAGCATTGAAAAACATGAACTCTTACTATGTGCAGGCTTGCTTTTCCATAGATCTGACCATTAACTTGTCTCTATTGTGACAACCAAGTTTATTTCCATATTGTGAAATAATCAAGGCAAAGCACCATCTCCAGGGAAACAAGCAGGTGGGGGACCCTCCACCAGAAAATTGACACACTGCACCTTTAGAAACAAGGTGCAATGCCTCTACTACAAGCTCCTCAAGTCCAAGAGAGTTTAAAGTTTTCTTGCCAAATGTGCATTAGCATACATCTCAGCTCCTTCTATAGGTCTATGTGATTGAAGGATAAGTCCATGACAAATGCAAGCCCACTAGACAAACTATGAACAAGTTGTATAATTTATTTGCTTTTCTCTAACCATGACATTTCTTTTGAACTGACTGCCTATTCACTTGAAGGCTGTCCAAAACACTTGTTGCCAATTGATTCTATTCATTCTGCTTCGACAGCGTCATTAAATGTATCAATTTGAGTGCCAAAACCACTCCATCTTCATCACAGAAAAGGAGAATACTTATCTTAAGATTGTTTTGTTGAAGAGTTTTCAGGCAGCAAAAAATCTTTGAGGACAGAAGAGGAACTTTTGAATTTAGATATTAAAAGCACTGAAACTACTCTCATGAATAATTTCCATTATGTTGTTGCCTTGTGTTTTGCTTCTTTTTTACAACTTCTCTTGACTATAAGTTTTTTAAAGTGCCTTCACTTTCACTGTTGTATACTACTGTTCATCTCATTTACACATTTGAGTGATGATGTATTTTTTGTCTCTGTAAGTAAATTTCTCAGTAAGAAGTAATTATTTTTCCACCCTTGTTTGTTTTGAGTAATTTTGTCAGTCATATTATATTATGCCGCAGCAGCACCTACAATTTATGCACTAATCAACAAAAGCTGACAAAATGCTGCCATCATAAGCACTTGGAGAAACAAGGCATACATTCACTTTATTGCAAAAAATTTAAAGCAAGCGCAGTGTTTTTAATTAATTGCATAGTCCAAGCACTTTGAATGTCTTCCCAAAATGGTTACATTTGATATTATTAATCATCCAGCATACAATTACTGTAAATACCATATACAATAATTGGTGTATATATTGTAGGTCATCTTTATTCTCATTAGCCTCAAATGCTACATACAGAAGAGTATCAAATACAACATAGATCAATGTTTTTCTCCGAATTCATTCGAAAATAGCTTTGCTTCATCAAACTCTTCTCAAGAACATTAAAATTAGGTCTGTGAAACGTGACTATTCATGAATTTAAAAAAATATGCATGTCATCTTCCACGGTTCTAAAAAATCTGCAAAAAAACAAATATAGAAATCTTCTCTCCAGCTGTAGTGTTTTTTGCTTTGTTTTTTCATGAAAGCTTACGACTTTGAACAAATGAATGTGACTACGTGAATTATGAGTATTAGCCGAACTGTGTTACAAAATCAGTTTGCACATCAGTCGAATTTATGTCATATACATTATACATTTTAAACACACTGCAATGAACCAAATGAACATTAACATTTACAGTTAAATAGCCTACCGTATAGTTCCCCTCAAATAACTGACTGCATGAGAATTACACTAAGGTCACTTTCCACATACAATTACTTTACAGAATATATATATATATATATATATACTGTATGTTCAACATCCACCAACTCCAGCTGACAACATTATCCATAAAGCATTGACCTGTGCTGACTAAAATGACATGCTAAAATAAAGAGACAGAGAATGGAGGGTATCTGTTACAGGGGTGGACAGTATCTGCTACATTGTACAGGTCATACGTGTGCTCACAAACACCTCTTTCTATACTAAGAAGGTCCAGTTTGTACACGTCTTTGACAGATATTAAAGCTGATCTTAATGCTGTGTTCATGTACAATCAGGCTTTCATTCAATTACAGTTAACAAATGCATAAGGTGATGAAAGAACATGCGTTGCAGAGTTATTTGCATTAGTAACTGTAAATGATTTGCTTTGAAGGTTGCCCCCTTTTTGCATCAACCCAAACTACCTCAGGAACATAAACACAGCATTAATCCCAATAAACCTTTAAATATAAGCTGTACCAGTGACTCCAATGTAGAACTAAAAGAGTATTAATACATACTGTATGTTGAATTGTAAAACAGACCTGCTCAATCTAATAGTTTAACACAACATTGTCAAAATAACCCAGGTTAGGGACATGCTGTGAACATTTTAACTGTTGTTGAGATCATCCACTAGCAGCTGAGCTTGTCCAATACATTTTGTAGTTCTACAAATAATGTAGCATGATTGAGTAATCTGTTTGTTTGGTCTTTTTGAAATTATAAAACGTTGGTAACTTCCTCCTAAATACACAATGGATGACATAACACTGCTGGGATGACTGCTGCTCTGTTCCATTGCTGTAGTTGCAGCATTATACATAAAATGAGTCTGTTTATCTGAATAGGTTCAATTCACAATAGTGAATAACGACTTGATTTATAATGTAACCACATCACATTCTGATACTTATAAAGTGAGGGAGCACATGGGTTGGATTTAATTTTGGGAAAAGCTCGGACCCACCATGCATGGGTAATTATCCACAGCAGGGACACAGCAAACAGGGACTGGTGCACGCTGTGCTAAAATGCCACTTAAAGACTTCACAGAGTATACAGGAATTATTGTGCACTTTTGTAACTTTAACCATAACATAATCTGCTTTTAGACACCAAGAGGGTCAGCCACCATCAGTATATTCTTTATAAGAGGTCACAGAAAGGGAAAGCAAAATGGTGACTTGCTAAATAGTTACTATAAATGACGCCAACATAACATGATTGAAACAAAATGGGAATATGACAGGTAGAACCTCTAAAAAAGTCCGTTCTTAAAACAGATACTGCTCAGCTTTCATAGTTTAGAATAGTCAGGATATGAATAAGATCTGTAGTTTTATATATACACAGTAGTGCTGTACTCTAGGGTTAAAGACTGTAAATCTCTACAGTGAGTGTTACTCTTTGACAACACGGGCCTATGTGTGTTCAAGTGCTTTGTTTAGTGCCATGAAGTTGCATATGAAAAGAAGTGATCCGACATGAGGTAATGGAGACAGATGGGAACGAGGCATCACAGTGAGTTGAGCACAACCCAGTTTATGTACGTCCTGGGCAGGACCACAGGGACGTGTCCTCCAGGGACTCTCCACATCCGGAATCATGCAAATGTGCTGCTATTCCACGTGGACGTAGCTCATCTTCAAACACAACTCCGAAATGAACAGGTCCCATTTCACTTCATTGAGTCCTGAGCTACTTGAATCTGGTGTGTCTTCTATAGTCCTCTTCCTATAGCATTAGCTTTTTGGTCAGATTGAGTGAGGTGAGGGGAAACCATTGTCTTGTCAGTCAGGTGAATTCTCAGAAAGATGCTCGGTCAAACTTGGCAGCAACCCAGGCCTGAGCTGTAGACAAACACAGGAAAATAAAGTTCATTACAATAAAAACAACTGAGTATTTTAATGTTTTACATGATAATAATGGTTACACCCATGTCCAAGAGTCATAAATATAACTACAGTTCTATGAATGCTAAGTGACTGCCAGAGGTCACTGCTGAAAGCACCAAATGACCCTCATAGTCACTGCGATCAGGGGGGAGTGAACAGAACTACATTATAACATTACAGGTGAAATATCAATGTGGCAAAGTTAAAAACATATCTTCTCTACATCCTTATGGGTATTTCCTTGTAACTAAGGGGGTGTAAACTGACTCATGGGAATGACTCATTTTTTCAACAAAAATATGTTTTGTGGGAAAACATTTTTATCACTTCCAGTTTTGCATATTAAAAATAATAATCCAGCATTTCAGCTCAGTTATTACATTTAAAAGCTTCTTACTAAGATAAAAACATTTCCTGTAAGTAGTAGGCAATTATAATCAACCAAGGACTATATCTAATTCAGAAGATTTCACATATTATTTATTTAATAGACAAGGCAATCATGGTGAAGCCACCATGAATGAAGAGGCCTGTTGGTTGTGATTTACATTCTTCAGTGAAAGATGACACATCCTACTGATAGTGCAGTGCTGAAGGAACTAGGAGCAGGACAGTGGGTTACCTTGTGTGCTCATGCCTTCATGACATTGGCAGAGTTTGGTTCAGAGGGCGGAGATGGACGGGTCGGGGAGGTGGGGGGGCTGGGGACACAGCGGGCTGCAACCACATGGAACATTTGGGTAAACATACATTCTACATCTATGTCTAAGGTCGACAAACACACAAACTATGGGAAGAACTGAGGTCCGGATCAGTCCATGTGTTGATGCATGCACACACAACTTAGTAGTACTACATGAAATAATGCCAGGTTTAGTTTACACATATGGACTACCGGAATCTACAAACGTTTCACATATGAGCACACTACAAATCACAATCAACACCACATTTTTTCAGCCAATTCTTTCTTTGCACAGGAGAATTATAATTCTGTACACATTTTTTAAACAAGTAGGTGTCCTACCAGACAGCAGGCGGCTGCGTCGGGACGCCTCTGCAGCCAAGGCACATGAGATCTCAATGCGCTTCTCTTGCTCCTGCAACTGCTGCTGAGAGCTGACAGGGGGCGCTCCATCCACAGGGCCATCCAGCACTGGGACCATGTTCTGAAGGCTGGACACATGAAAAATATGATTAACTTGATTCAATATTTTGAAGGAATATAGTAAATAATACAATAAATTGCAATACAGACAATTTATTTTACCAGAACAGCCATTTAAGCCAAACCTACTTTGATTTGGCAATAAGAGTTCTGATACGCTCCAGTTTCTTCTGCTTCTCTTGCTGTTCTGCAGGACTGAGAGGAACAGAATCATCTTCCTCTAGGAGGCGTTCTGCAGCCAAGACCTGTACAAAATAATGTATAAAATATAGACAGTAAATAAAGAGACACATGTCAACAACTTTATTAATCCTAAAGGGCAATTCAGTCTGCTGATCATGCACAGACCATAAATAATATCACGTACATAAAACATACATTCAAAACCGTCTTAGTGCATCAGGGGACACATCAGCAAAACTGACTTTCCATTTAAAAGTTTTATGGCAGAAGGAGTAAAGGACCATGCACAGGGCTAGTCTTTTGTTCTGGGGTGACATAGAGCCTCCCAAGGGGCATTAGCACAAACTGCAAGCGCAGCACATGGATAGGCTGGCTCAGTATGGTGTTAGTCATTTGCCACAACCTTTTTCTCCACACAAAAGCTAAATATTCCATCTGAACACCACTGATCCATCCATATGATCAGGTTTACACCAGACCAGTCTGTAAATTAAATAATTCAAAAGTGAGAAATCAGATTAAAAATAACAAAAGTAATCTATTTATTTTGTTGACAAGCCATCAGTTATATTGGGGTTACAAATATACAACTCTGAACAGGTTATATTGAACATCTGGAACTATCTGACCAACAGAGGGGTCAGAGTCCACAGTCGACTGGGGCATTGCTTTTTCTCTGATTCTCTGCTTATATAATGTTTCTGCGTGTGTGTGTTTGTGACTGAATGGAGTACACAGGTGGACAGGTGATATTGTACCTCGTCGTAGAGTTCGGGTTCCACCTGTAAACGTCTGAGCCTGGCGATCTCCTCACTGGGAGACTCCAGCCCCTCGCCACGAACTGCAGCCTCCAAGTCTTTTATATCAATCTCATGAGCTGTCAGCCGCCTGGGCACCTGCACACATAACACACAGAGTCGTAAATGACTGGTATATTATTCATGCCCATATGAAACAGAAAACCCACACCATGGTTCTTGCAGAGGTGAAAATGCAAAGAACAGCAATATAAAGGTGAAAAAATACATAGCACACTCAGATGGCCAATGTCCAAAAGCTTTTTCTATTCCTAAATAATGCCTCGGCAAAAAAACCTTTGCCAAATGATTTTTTCACTTTATATTATTCATGCCCACACACTACTCTAGAATTTAAATTATATACTGTCTATATCAATGTGTGTTTTTTTTTATTTACTTATGTACTTGTTGCTTTAAATGAAATGCCCATGCTGTTGCAGCAATTCTAAACTGAAGGGACTGAATGACTGAAAACAGTATTAGATAAAACATAGAGAATTAATAGAAATATTCTAAAAATGTGGTCAAAATAAAAATAGAATCAGCATAATACTTAATGAACTGGCATTGTCTCTTGTTCCTAGCTTATGAAAGGGGTGGAATATTTATTGAAAAATTGCTAATATCACAGTTGTCGTTTTGAAGACATGAAAAATAAAAAAACAACAAGTATATTGTCTATAATTAAAACTATTCTAATTACCTCAAAAGGAGACTGAAACGTCTAGTGTAATACCCCAAACAACGGTGAATTAATATTTCTCGTTTACATTTTATGAGATACTTGAACCTCACCCAAAACATTTACAGGCACATTTTATATATTTTGATATATTGTTGAAATACTATTTGAATATTGTTATTGCAAAAATGTAAAAAAACATACTGAGATATTATTATTTTTTATTTGTGGAAATAGACCAGTCTTATGTAAACTCATATGTAGCTCTTACCACTTTGTAGTTATGTGAGCCTAGGTTTAGACTCTGCCTTTTGTTCAGGTTCCGTCTCAGCCGCTGGTTCTGCTCTTCCACACTCATTTTGGGCTTCACTTCAGCTGGGAACACGGCGCTCTTTGGACGCTCCTACAGCAGCACACACAGATCTCAGTTAAACCAATGCCAATACTTGTGCTATAGATAAAAAGATATATTTGTCTGCTAGATAATGTATGTACAGAGGACATTAGCCAAGTCAGTGTACTAGGGGAGTTTTTTGGGTATCTTTTAACTTTTTTTTTAGTGGAAGGAAATGTGTTTATCAGAATCAGAATCAGAATGTACTTGTCATTTCAGAACACTGTACTCCTTTAAAATATCATATGTCAAGTGCAGTCTTTAAAACAAACACCCCCATATTGTAAAGCGCTTCTAAGTCAGTGCTATTTTGTAAGATGCATTAGCGTCAGGGCTACATGACAGAGCTGATCTGCCTAACAGCTTTAGGGTATCCACTTGACATTCACTCTTTTGATGATAAAAATTTCATATTAACTTTACACAAGTAGTCGTTTAACAAAGAAATATCTATTTGGTTCTTTAAAAACAGCAGTATATCACAGTTATCGTATGCAACATATCAATCATCGCATTTATCGCTATATTGTAATAATATTGTATCATGAGCCATGTATCGAGTATTGTATCGAATCATGAGGGACCCTGTGATTCCCAGCCACATTGTGTACTGAGTTACATACTCTTGAGATTCCATTGTGCATTCTTCCACGATACCGAGATCCACCTGAGGCTCTGGTGGGAGCTTCATCTGTGGGAGATTTTGTCCGTGGTGGAACAACACCCACTAACAAATTGAAGAAGAAGAAATATTTACACTAAGTAATCCAATATCAAATCAATTAACAGTTTTAGACAGCACTAACAACAACAATATTTCACTTAAAGGTCTTATATTGCGCAAAATTGATTCTTGTGAATTTTAAGCCATGTTAAAATGTTGATACCTCCTCAAAAACATACATGGAACTGTTTTTGTTTCATTCACATGTTTGAGTTATGCTTTATTATGAGTCTATTTACATCTCCAAAGCTCAAAATGCTCTGTTCCACCTTGTGTTTTAGCTTTTGTTTAGTAGACATTGGTAATCCAAGGCTGAAATCAAAAGATTCTAGTGTAGTGTAGTGTGTTCAAGGTGTATGGAGTTTTAAAACACTTCCTGTACATCACAAGGGTTTGGTTTGGTTTGGTTTGTGTGTTAAACATGTGTGAATGAAACAAAACACAACTACAGGTACAGTATGTTTGTAATAAGAAAACAAAATTATAACATAAAATGAAAAAAGCATAATATGGGCACATTAAACCTATGCACATGTATAATTTTTAGTATACCTTTATTTGTGGATGATTGTCTGTCCTGGGCTGCGTCCTCTGCATCACTCATATTCTGTAAAGACGGAAAACAGCTTGAAATTTTAGCTTTTGGGGACAGGGGTTGAATAAGATGAGGGTGGATACCACTTTGAGAGAGCAACATCAAAATCAGTACATGAAAAGGCAGTTATTTTACCTCTACCATATGCAACAATGTTTACACAGTGGTTAGCTCAATATCTCCAAAGTAAATTATGGTGTTTTGGCAATGACAGTAAATATTTATGAATACTGACTATGGAAATTAAAAATAAAAAAAACTTGATTAGCCTGACTACTTTGTTAAATTACAAAGAAGCGATATTCTATCTTTATATACTGCTACCATAGAAGGCTTTCATGGTCGAATGTTTTTTTCTGTTGTAGACTAAATGAAATCACTGATGTTTAGTGTTGAAGCAATACACAGATGCAGAGCAAGAAAGTAATGAAAAAATGAAAAAATGCAGATGAGAGCATTCAAAAAATCTTACTTGTGCAGTGGTTATGAGTTAAGACAGTCAGATTTAAGTCACCCTTCAGACTGGTTGACCTGGCATGTAGGAGGCTGAAAGCGTTAAGTACCTTGGTGTAAGAATCTTCGGCATCAGAGTAGGCCAAGCCACATAGCCAGGCAGCACTGTCCCGGGACAAGGGTGGGGTGGAGGGGGGGAAGCTGGGGGAGGACTCCAGGGGGCAGTAAGACTTAGGGAGGGGGGGGGGGGCGGGGAGGGACACACTCCTGGCTCACCGTCAAGGCACAAGACAAGGGGAGGAAGAGAGGGCAGGTTTAGGGGAGAGCAGGGGGAAGATAACAGCAAGATCATAAGCTTATAGAAAGGCAGAATGTTTCAATATGAAGGAAAGCAAAGCGCAAAAGGCTAGAAATAAGATAAGACATGCTTCAAATACTAATAATATAAAAGGTAAATGTTAATCCAAATTTAAAATTATACAAATTTGTACTGTAGTTAAAGTCCTATGGTTTAGACAGAAAGATGTTCATTGAATTCACTGAAATTTACTCTTGATTGTACGTACTGCAGATATTTGTCATCTCTCTAAAGAGAAATAGTATTTAGCATACAGTTACAGAGAATGTAGAGAATAAAGATGTTTCATATTGAATACAGGTCCATATAAATTGCCAAAAATAGTTTGAATGTGTTTCAGCTGGGAACATATATATATATATATATATATATATATATATATATATATATATATATATATATCGCAGTATGTATGTATTCATTAATTATGTATTATTGTTAGCAAGGACAAAACATGGAATGCAAAGTTTGGGACATAAAAAGAAGCATTCTTGTTGTGTGGAGTTAAAGATGTGTCTGCTTGAAGATTTTATGGGAGCTGTTTCTGGGGCAGGTTTGGGGACTAACCACAGGGGAATAGATCAAATGAGATGTTTCAGGAAAACTCTTTTTTACACAAATGACAGAGACGGGACATGACTCCAGAATTGGGTCAAGAACATCGGTCTGATAGGATTCCTGTATGGGAATTGATTGGTGATATCTGCTGTGCAGACACCCTGGTTCATCTACCTGGGGTCTGTGAGCATTTTTACTGTCGCAGTCGTAATACTGCATTTGGTCTCGTTGTTGTTCAGGGGTATTGGGTGGTGTTACACTTTGCTCATAATTTATCTGAGAGTTAACAATGGATTCTTCTAGCATATTTAAGGGCAGTCTGAAGTTCTCAAACAAAACAGCAGGTAGGCTTTGATCAGGGTCTTTTAAACTTCTGGGCCTTGACCTCGTCTTTAGTTCACACTGTGGAACTATGCAGGACATAGGTCGCTGTTTAGGAACAGGATTTCTGCGCATTTTGGGTTGGGTTCTACCGTCAAAGCACAGGTCACTAGTGTCAGGCCTGGGGTGGGTGCAGCTGCTTCTTACCTCGGGGTGTTTGGATGGGGGGGTCTGTGAGCCAGGCAGTGGGGAGAAGGGGCTGAGTGGGCTGGTCAGGCTTACGGAGCTTAGAGGACTGGCAGGACTATTAGTGCTAAAGGTACCACTGCTGACCACTGTAAAAACACACATCATACAATATTATTTTTCTGAGTAACAGAAAAGAAGAAGAAGAAAAAAAAAATGTCAATCTAACAGCTTTACCTTTGTGCTTGGCTGTGTTAGTGCCTCGGGACGAGTTGTTTTTATGAAGGGCTTCTAATACGTCCTGCACTCTCCAAAACTCCTTCTGTATATGATTACGTACAAGGACACTCTGCAAATATACAACAGACTATCAATCTTGTAAGCAGTTAATTAGCAAATCATGTAGTAAGTGTTGTTTTATGCTCTGGCTGAATAGAACAGCCATTTCAGAGTATTTCAGGACGCTGTGCAATTTTATAAGCAGCAAAACAAAATGTAAGATTCTGTCACCTGGCCTCCAGTGTTGAGTTGCTCCCACAGATCTCCATGAATGGCATTTGCCTCATCCTCCAAAGCCTCAAACTCCATACGGGCAGTGGTTAATGCCTAAATCAGGAATAAAAACTCATTAGCTTTCTTAATTTCACCAGCAACAACCAACAAAAGAGATAATGTTTGAAAAGTGTTAAATATCAGAGTATCAGAGGAAGTCTTACACTAGAAGCCTGTGAAAGCTCTCCTCGGATGTTAATGAGCTGGTTCTGAAGAGTCTCCTTCTTGAACTGAAGTTTCTCCATGGCCAGTGGCTGGTGGTGGTGCAGCTCCATCTCCTGGTGAGTGGACAGTAGTGCATCCTCAAGGTTGTCCTGCATTAAAAAAAAAAAGAGCCACAAAAAAGGAAATGTCTTAGGGTTCTTGTTCAACAGTATATGACATGTTTTTGGAAATGGCACAGTGAAGTTAACTGTCAGACATCACAGGGGGAATATTCCAGTAACGTTTATGACCCTAGTGGTCAGGTGGGCAAAACATACTCAGAGCAGAGAGGCAAAGAAGGATCGTGGGTGTGGGTGGGAACAAAGACTTGGAGGTAAGTAGATAATAAATCATTGATATACATGTACCTTATCCATTCTTAGCCTGTGGACAAGAGATTCTTGGTCTTTCAGAAAGCGGTTTTGTTCACACAGTCGGCCAAGTAGTTTCTATGAAGAGAAAAACAAATACAAATTCATGATATCAAGACTAGTCTGTAATAAAAAATGATGGACATAAATGAAACATGATTCTTACACTTGTTTCAATTTCATTGAGTTTTAGTGTGGGGTGTAGCTCTCGGCTGTAGGGATCATTATATGGAGGCACCTGGAACAAAATAAATTTTCAGTTCATGTGAACATTGTCCTGAGTACTGACCAATATTCTTTACATTTGTATGACAAATACAATTTAAACATAAAGTGGATAGTAACACATATTAGATAGTTTAAACAATATAAGTAAAAATTTAAATCAGTGCAGTTGTTAAGTACATTAATCCCATACGCAGTAGCAGAGTGTGCAGTGTCCCACCTGCTGATCCAGGTAGTCCAGACTGCGCTGGAGCTGGAAGTCTAACATGTCATCCTGAGTCAAGCAGCAGCAAAGCAGCAGAGACAGACAGAGACAGACAGACAGAGCGCAGATAAGCTCTACAGAGCAACCCAGTCAGTGTGATCATATGAATCTCATCGCAGGAGACAACCTGCTCCTCACAGTGTCACACGCATGTACACTTGATTCAACATCAGAAAATCTTTAAAGGTCCCATATTATTCAAAATTCACCTGAATTGAATTGATTTTAGCTATGTTATATTGTTTTACCTCATCAAAAACAAGTTGTTTTGATTCATTCACACATGTTTGACTAATCCTGCATTATTTCACTGTCTACATCTCGCACACCCAAAATGCTCTGCTCCACCTTGTGATGTCATGAAGCAGTAGGTTTTCAAGTTAACAGCTACCTTTTGCCTTAAGTTTAGCAGAGGTTGGCAATTCTAGGGCTGAAATCATTCAAATAATTCTAGTGAAGGTGTATGAAGTAGAGCCCGACCGATATGGATTTTGTTGTGACCGATATGAAACCGATATAATGGGGGTTGGAGCTGCCGATAGCAGATATAATCGCCGATATATTTAGTGATGTAAAAATTCACTGTAAATCTTGAATTGATTAAAAAACTTAGGTTTGGCTCTAGTGGATTCTAAATTGGGTTTATTTAGGCAACATTTATTGTTATTTTGACTCTTTACATCATATTTACATACAGTAGATTGGCCTAATGGCATTTTTGCATCACATTCTCGCTACTGTTACTGTCACTGCTAGTGATGAGTATTCCAGTTTTTTTTTTTTGGAGAACCGGCTCGGCTCACTAAAGCAACTGGCTCTTTCGGCTCCCAAGCGACTCTTGAGATGGTTTTGTTGCAAGCAGGACTAAACCAGAACTGAACCAGGACTGAGTGTCGGGACTCGGTTTCTATCTTTCTCCTTCACTCAAGCCCAAGTTTAGTCCTGGTTTATTCATTTTATGCTGAACTGCAGCCAAATATGCACTTTTTTTTATCCTATGCACACGCAGATTTCTGAAAGTTTCGTTTTCAGCCGCTGCTGCTGTCAAACTACGGGTCTACATGCGGCATGAAGAGAAAAAGTGAGAAAAAGTGAAAACACGGCTCCCAATAAGAAGCAGGCTCCCGTTGTTCGCTTCAAAGAACCGGATCTAAGAGCCGCTTCGATCGCGACCGACCCATAACTCCTAGCTAGCTCGCTATTAGCCTTTAGCCGTAAAAACGTGCGCACCGCGGTAATTAATTATATGCATAAATGTGGATCATTCACACGTCTATTCACAGCTCATTTACATATCAATGCAGGTCCAGTAACAAATATACGGCCAATGTAATCACTTTACAATAGACCAATAGAAAACAGCCTGTTTATGTGTGGGAGCTACAGCAGCTAACCGCTAACAAAACCTGAACTAGCTTCAAAGTCGACATATTTCCAACACTCACCGTTCACACAGGCTCCTCCTCACATCACAAGTCTGCACTAATAAATGTCCTTTTAATCCAGACTCAAACCGATTGTCCGAAAAAGAATATAATCTCAGGGTTGCGCACAGCTGCGGGTGTAAACAAACACACGCGAGTGAAGTGAAGTCACTCTGGTGGTGTGTTCAGGGACAGTATGGACACAGACACAGACAAATTACACCGTAGATAAATACTGATGCGGAGCCACATATTAGGACATTTATCAGTCTGTAAATTGGATTAAATGAACATAATGTAGAGAGTCTAAGCTTTATAACGAGATATAACATGCCCACGTGAAATATCGGCCCATATCAGCAAGCATATCGGCCGATAGCCGATATGTCTCCAGGTGCCCATATTGGCCCATAATATCGGCCAGCCGATATATCGGTCGGGCTCTAGTATGAAGTTTAAAAACACAGTAGGACAGTTACTGTATTACCACATGTTTTCTGTTTGAGAGAAGAACTCAGCCTATATATGCAGAGTTTGTTGTGTGTGTGTTGTGTGAATGAAACAAAACACAACTTTTTAAAGAGGAAACAATATTATAACATATGAGTAATCTAAAGGATTGATTCAAAATATATGTTGGGTCTAAACAGTTGCACACTTTATACGTAATATAAAGGCACATAAACTAGTTACATTTTGAAGCTGATCATAAATACAAAAACACATTCTTATACAGTATCTGATATCATTACATACTTATCCTGTTTGTTATTTTTTGCATGTGCAATAATCAAATTCTCTACTCTGAATAACAAACTAATGTAATTTTGCTATTATACTAATGGTATACAGATTAGCTGCTGGCTTCAATCAACTATCAACATTTGAAGTTCTTAAGCACACCCACACCCAAACCCAGAAACCTCAATTTCGCAACATTATACAACACAGGCAAATGGTGCTTGAAAGAAAGAGGAATCAGTGCTATAATATTAGAACTAACACACAGCATGACCAGCATATAGCATGAAGGAAAAAGAAATGTGGTGGCTAAAGCAGTGGAACATACCATTTTACTGTGAATGGAGGGGGAGACAGGGTAGCTGTGGTGGTACAGGCCTTGGCTTAGGGATCTCCTAGTGCCAGGGAAGTCATACTGAGGGTAGCAAGGAAGGAAGGACAGTGACAAGGATAAAGAGAAGGAGGGGGTAGTATGTTAGTGGTGTAAAATGAGCGGTGTATTAAGCATATTTCATTAAAAGTGGAAAAGTTCAAGAATTAATAATAATAATAATAATAATAATAATACTTACAGACATAACATTTTCCTACATAGTCAAATTGTCTCCTTTGAATTGGTTCGTCACATGTTACTTCACAAACATATCCCTCTTCTCACCTGTCTTATTTGCCTTGCTGAAAGCTCTTTGCATTAAGCACTTCCTGTCTGGCTACTGTCCTTGTTAGATAATAGCAGTTAAACTATGATTAAACTATTAACAACTGTCTTCTGTGATATTGCCACAACAAAATATATGACTCTCGGGTATGGCTGGTTACAGTTTGACCTACACATGACTATCAGTATGTCTAACCTTTGGCGAGCTGAGAGACCTCCTCAGACTGTAAACAGAAGGGTCTGCGTAAATGTGGTCATCCCTCATCCTTCCTGGGTCATGGTCGAAACGTGTGGATGGAGACCGGGCTGGGGACACGTAGTTGGGGGGCACTGGGGAGTACAACCCCCCCGAGGATGAAGATGGTGAGCGGGGCACAGAGCGAGAGCGAGGCTGAATGGACAGGCGTCTCATGGATGATTCCATGCCATAGTGTTGTGGGCCCCAGGAGTCCCTCATCATGGGGGGCCCATACAGCTGATGGGGGCCATCTCTGAGAGAACGGCGCTTGTCTTCCAGAGTCCAGCGCTGTTCGTAAGCCCCCACAGCAGACAGAGTGCAGATGCTGTCAGGTCTCATCCCACCAGAGTACAAGGGGTAGTCATCCATGTAGCGAGGGTCAGGAGGGTACCCATAATACTCAGAGACTCCTCTGTTGACAGTGTAGTACCGAGACGGGCTGAACAGAGGGAAAAACCAGATTTTACTGGATGAAACAGGATAATGTTATAATTGTTGTTATCCAGACATTTTAGGTAGCTGAGTAGCCATAATCACATTAATAAAACAAAAGCATGCATTCGTTTTGTCAACCTTGTCATGGTCTTAAAATATAAAGGTCAATGGCATTTCCTGATAAACCCTTTACAAATACAGCACACAGATCATCTCTGGGTGCTGTGGCCTGTACAGCACATAGCCTTCATCAGAGGCCAATGTATTTATGTGCATTGTCCCTGACAAATAAACAAAAAACATAACTTTGTGCAATAGACCAAAGCTCCAAAGTCCAAATAATGTTATCCTAAAGGAAACAAATTATCGGTACTTACTTTGCAAAGAGTACTCTCTCATGTACCATACCAGATGTATGTTAAAAATGTGTAGCAAGGAAGTGATATTTAATAGACTAGATAAACTATGCATTATGAACACACACCTGTGGAGGTCCTCCTGAGAGGCAATGCCCCGGCGCTGGTTGACCCACTGCTGCAGCTGGGCCATGGAGCTCCTCCTCTGTGCCACTCTCTCTGGGGCTGTCCTGGGCACAAAGCCCCTGCGCATGACCACTGCCTCCTGAGGGGGTACAGTCCGCTCTTGGTGGTGGCTCTGGGCTGCACTGGTCCTGGGGATCGTGTTGTGAGGGGCCCATCCATTTGGGTGAGGTTTGGAAAGAGCAGGTACTCCCCCTGCACCCTCTACTGGAACTTCAGTCTTTACACTGTTATTATTGTCTGGTCTGGAGCAGGACAGAGCGGGAGAAGGGGTTTCGGGTCCATTTCCATTGGGCTGTGAAGGGGGCTGAGAGGGGGGCTTACAGTCACTGTCTGTCTGTGGCGTCTGGGGGTCCGGGGCTTTGGTTACCATGATGCTGCTGACATCAGATGTGATGCCACTGGTCTCCAAGCTTCAGTAGAAGACAGCATGCATTGTATTATATTGACAATTTATGAGAATAAATAAATTATTGCTGTCTAAATGCATTTGCTCTTAAAGTTTTAATTAATTGGTTACTTGGTTTTCACTAAACTATTCCTGTCTATTCTTAGACATGGCTGGCAACATATATGCTGTTATAGGAATCCTAATAGAAAATTTATATTATTTAGATCTGTGCTCCAGTGCATAGATAATCATAAGTAAACTATTTCTGAAAGTAAGGCATAATCTTTAGAACAAAATCTCAGTTTTGTAGTTACAGCAGCCTACCTACGTGTGGCAGCATTGTCTAAATCAACTTCGTACGTATCTCCGTTACACCACGAAATCAACCAACAATTGAGATTTCAAATAAGAGTGAAGCACAAGCAGCACAATGTTGCAGATCACCAGCTATGAGTAATAGCTAAAGTAAACATCTCTGTAACTCAAACCGGACATTGCAATCAGATGTAGAAATACTTAAGATGTGATGAATCAGATGAATCACTTGTCTGTTGAAAAAAAGTATGCCAGTTTGTATATGAATTGTTCACTCACTACCTGTCCCTCTTTATGAATGAATGAATGAATGAATGATCTAGCTTAAAAGCTATGGCATATTATATTTTGTACAATCAATGAGGCAGATGCTGGTAAATTTAGAACAGACATTTTCAAATGTTTGAACTACTATTAAGTTTAGCTGAGTTTATTTGGGATTTCTTTACATTTTGTTTACATTACATGTGTATAAAGAAGCATACATTGCCAGAAAGGAGTAGGTTGAAGCAATTGCTTATTCGCATCTACTCCCATACAGTTTGTTATTTACACCTGCGAAACTGTTCACTGTATGTGTTGTGTATATAATTATTTACATGCACATCACCATGTGCATGGGAATGTGCCTGACAACAATAAGTACCTGTAGTAGTAGTAGTAGTGCATTAAGTAGTACAAAATCAAACTAACTACTGATCTACTATTACAAGAACATCTAAAGACTAATCAGATGACGTATCTTACTGAGGTATGTCCTGTTTATTAGCTTCTGCAGAGCCTGAGCATTTAGCAAATATATCAAATACATATTTATATATACATAAATTTGGCTTCTTGTATGTTGGGTGAATAGAGAGGACAGCACAGTGGGACAGTTTTTGTTTGTATGTATCTGTAACTGTCTAAATGTGTTAGTGTTTCAAATGTTCTAAAAGTGTTAATCTAAGCCTAATAGTTTCACTGTTTTTTTTGTTGAGAGGGAAAAAAATTCTAAGAACAAAATGAGTTTCCTGTGTATTTATCAGTGCACAAATGTTTGCCTACCACACCTTTGCGTTGTTTCCACGTCTGCGGCCTGGCTCATGGCTCCGATCCACTCTCGCTGTTCCTCATGACTGTCTGCGCTGAAGTAGTACGTCCTCGTGCCACTGTGCTCAGCCTGTACGCAAAACACAACAGGACCCCTCAGCTCGTCTTCCTCACTGCTGTTCTCATGGTCCTCCTGCCACACCTGCAAAACACAGAGAGGAACTGTGAGCTGATCATATCATAGTACCACCATGCTGGAGGTACGTGGACATGAAACAACAGCAGAAGAAAACATGCAGATGCTCGCCCAACAAAGACCTACCGAGATCAGATTCAGATCACTTGAGTCTTTTGCTCAAAGTGGTTGCAAACATCATAGGTAAACAGGGCTGCAACTTTTATAATTTGAGATTTTATAAATGCATTTCTTAACCAAAAAAGGGTGAAATATGGTGACTGAAGCTTTTTTGATAGATAATGTTTACAGAAAAAATAAAGCATTTTCAGTTTTAATCTTATGTCGCTGTCTTTATTGTAAAAGAACAGTCTCTATGGTACAAATAATGACTACAATTTTAATAGTCAACTAGACACATTTATTCTGATTAATCATTGCAACCATAGTTAAGACTAGCAATGCCATTTCATCCCTAAACATGGAGGCACAAAAAGACATAAAGTAAAAAAAAGGTGACCAAAACCTAAATCAAATATAAAAAGTAGCAAAAATATTTTTGGGTATCTACATGCGTTAATAGCCTGTATCAGTGGAGTTATAATAAGCATTGGTGGGATAATGAAAAAATAGACAGTACACATCACAAAAGTAAATATATGGTCCAAAAGTCTTGACACTTCATGCATCATGCACTTATAAGAGCGCTTTACCTCCAAAATATTATTTGAGGCAGCTGAAGGACCTCAGAGAAGGCAAAGAGACGGGGACAGGAAGAAAACATGAAATACCTTGTTTGGTGCAAACAGCAACAGAAACCACTTAGGTTCAAATTCATTACATAACAAGATGGTTCAAGATTAATTCAGATCACAGCATGTCCAAATTGGATTATACAATGTTAAGGTTAATCTCTATGAAATGTTACATTTGACCATGTTACAACTGTCAAGGATTTGTGTATTCGTGTATTTATTAGGAGCCCTATTAGCTGTAACAGAGGGCCCACTTATCTTCCTGGGGTCCGTTTAGGTAGATGTTTTTTGATTATTTTACTTGAGACAAAACTGATTATTAACCCTTTTTAGGTCATATTATTTAGCCCAAATAATTTAATTTAATAAAAGAAAACATCAATTCCAAATAAAATGTGAGCTATGAAATACATGATCACATAAACTTGGCACCATACCTTAGTATATTTGATTATCATTTATTTTTGAATTCTTGTCTTTTTTTTTTTTTTGTCACAATTTATTTCTGTTCATATCTGTTTTTGAATTGTCTGCTGGTTCTTTCTTTTAACTATTATTAATTTTGTTTAGATTTGTGTTTGTTGGGGTTATTGTTGGAAAAAAACACACACAGCTATGATGTTTGGTACACACTATGTAACTTGCTGAAATATGTAACTGTAAAAAAAATAATAATAATAATTTAATAAACATCTACGAACACTTAGATGTGGCCTTTTATTTGTCTTTAGTTATACAATGTGTGTATCAGAGCAGAGCATCATGAAGATATAGGTCTGTCAATCTACTGTGATGTTCTAATCGATGTTCGAAGGCTGTGCAGTGTTGACCTTGAAACTGCAATCTCGGGCTCTCAAAGCATTTGTGTGTGTTTATGTGATGCTGGATTCATTCAAGGTATTAAGCGGAAATCACGTCACCAAGACACTTCCTTCCACGGTGGAGCAAAAATCAGACCACACCCACAATGTGCAACGTGATGCAATTGGCTGAAATGGCTCTATAGTAACAGGCAGCAGTAGCCATGGCAACAGAGGCGGAGTGTGTGTGGCCTCCTTGGCTTTATTGTCCTTCCTTTGTTCCACGTTTAGGTGGTGTGAGACAAAGGCGCATCAAATTCGAGGCGATCATAATAGAAGTGATAGCTTAGACATACGCGCATTATAATAAATTGTAAGTGAATAGGTTACATTATCAGACGCTATGCATGGTTCTTTGTTTACACTACCTGCTCCTTTGTTATAGCATACTGAAGTGTGAAAAATCAAGTAGCACAGTTTCCTGCAATATGAGCCCATTCAAATTTTCAACAGCATTTGGCAAAAAAACCAACACAAAAAACATGTATATCAAGTTAATCGTATCTGTACTTAGTCTCTTTAAAACCATCTTTTTTGTTTTTTCTGTTTGTCCTTAATTATTACTATTATTATTATTATTATTATTATTATTATTATTATTATTATTATTATTAAGTTGTATAGGACCAAATAACAGGCCTAACCTAACCCTGTGTTTTGCAGTTGAGGTCCTTTGACACATGATAAGGCTTGTGTTTACAGTATATGGCAGTACACAGTATATATACATGTGGTCAACCACACTCTTAGCTGGGAGCCCAGGGACAAACAGCACTAGAATGAGCCTGTGGTTTTTCAGCAGACCAGAAAGAGACCCACCAAGGAGTTAATTATTACTTTATATAACAGTGTGTCCAATGCACATAATCCACGTGTCTGATAGGGGGACAAGTGTATGGAAACTGCTGAACTGTTCTGATTTGCAAGATTAGACAATTCTTTTTATAATTTCGTAAATTATTTTATTTATTTTTAATGTATTCTTGAAGAATATTTGATAATAATCCAATACCCACAGACTTTGGACTTTTTAAATCCAGGCTCAAAATGTACCTATTCAGGCTATCTTTTAACACTCAGTAATGTAGTGACACTATGCACAATTTGATTTATTTCATTGTTTAATGTTTTGCATGTTTTTATATTGTGTTGATTGATTGATTGAATGACGCATTTTGTGTTAGGAACCCCAAACATAGCATCTGCTAGATTGTTATTGTGGGTTTGCAGGCTGCCTCCAAACTCTAATCTAAAACCAATGCATTGCCCCATCATGAATAAATATGAGTTGACATTCAGAGTGCTGCATGAGGTCCTGAGCAGTTTAGTGGATTAAATGAAGTTTAGAACCAATAGTTGTCATATTAATATAATATCATATGACATAACCTAACTTGAAGAAATACAAGGCAAATCATGGTATCTACTGTATTTAGTCTAAACTTTTTCACATAGAAAAATACATAAGAAAATAAATGGCGAGGATTCAACAAATATTTCTCAATCTGATTTTGATCCAACTTTCTACCTTTCCCTCTCCAAAGTTTCTAGACACATTACAGCAGAGTGCATGTCACAATAATAGGCTGATTTATGTAATGGTTAGGTTGGGCTTCTTGATTTTGTAGAGGCTTGCCTGTTGACTTTGTCCTGCCAGTATCTGGTGGAAAAAATAACAAGATGACTGTTGTGGTGTGTGCTGCGCATTTCAACAACCTGAAGCTAACTCCAAGTACAAAGAGTTTGCCTTCATTGGCAGACGACTTAGGAGCAGGAGCCCACAGACATAAATAAGATTGGGGTAGCTTAGAGATCCACTCAGGGTTGACTGGACCTTTTCACACACGTGAATATCTGTTATTGTGTTGAAAAGTCAAGTCCATTGATAACACAGCTTTCATTTTGATTGGTTTGTCTAATAACACATAATCCAGTCACTTTTATACAAGATAAATGCTGACTAAATGTAACAACTTTTATACAGGCTGTGATTTTATGTATTTTCTTTAAAATATATATCAATAAAATCAATATGCCTTCAGCAAATAGCATATATTTAGCATATGATTATTATTATTGTTTATTTATTTATTTATTTTAACACATGATCAGACATTAACCTAACAGGCCAGCTGATTGTGTCATAGACAAACATGGCAGTCTGTCAAGGTAACAGCAGCCCACTATCCTGATAAGAAAACTTTGGATTAAAATTGGACCAGTCCTCGACCTTTTGCTGTTACTTGTCCTAACTTCACATTCGAACAGTACAACTAATGTCACTGCCACAGTGTTCACACAACCTGAAAGAGTGAACAACAAAATGGGTTTGAATTACCACCTCCAGGCCCAAGTCAGGACAGTCTCTTATTACAGTTTTAGATCAGGGATCAGGTGTAGTTCAAGTACACTGTTTTTTTCAAATTTACAGGGAGTTATTTCTAATTCATACATTTAAAAGTAAAGGAAGATTAGAAGTTCACTGTGTACAAGTGGTGGTCTTACTAATGAGGCACAGCACTGATACTCTTATCAAGCTCGTAGGTCACTGACAGTTGTGGAATTCATAACGATGTAATCTCAAATCCTAACAACAAATATCGAGGGGAAAACTAGCAAATAACATGCTTTTTAAATCATAAATAGCTTTAATATAGTACTATGCCTAACACTTGAAGTACCAGAAAAACTTGAAAAGCACGTGGTAATACAAATCAGGTAATAATACAGGTGCAACAGTTTGTTTACATGCAAAGCCACATTAGAGATTGTTCACAAAGTGCTATTGTGATCAAGGTATTACAAATAATCCTGCCAACTTTGACTTTTTCACTGACTGAACTGACACCTGCTGCCCTGAAGGGGTAACCAGCCCACAAACTTCTTCATTTAATCATGTTTTCCAGAATAAACGTGGCCAAGTGTCTAACACAAGTCTGGTGTATTGTGTGTAAGTGCATTAGTAAGAACAGGAAACACACAGTTGGGCTTTTATTGGGTTTGCAAGAAGACAGTCAATTAGCCACAGGGACATCATGTCTGTTTGGTCAGTCTCTTCACATGTGTTTACTCAGAGTTTAGGCATTGCACTTTGCTCTGGTGTACTGGACATTCACAGAATTTGAAGTCTGTTTTGTTTTTTTACTGAACCTGAACTTTCCTGCTACCAAGGCATCTTTCATGCTTTTTATATATGATATTTATAGAATATTTTATCTTATAAAACAAATAAAATATTAACTTCATGAACATACTCAAGACAAGACCTCGAATAACTGCCATAAACACCAACAAAAATGTATTCTCCAAAGTACGATCACTGCTCCAAATAAATAATAATCACCTTTCACTGACAAAGAGGATTGGCTGTAGACCTCTCAATAAAATCTAAGATTAGGATTGACAATTAGAGGTGATGAAATTCAATCTTAATTAAAATTCTATTCATTACACAGTCTAGACAAGACATCCCTTTCTTACAGATGAACAAATCACAGCAAATTAACAAGTTACAGCAAAAACTATTTCATCTGAAGCAATCTCTATTTGATTTTATTCACACTGTGACGCATGGCCTTGCCCCTGACCACATCCGGATTACAAAACTAGATAAATCAAACTAAAGGCTCTGTACTCAATCAGAGTTATTTGAATGTAATATCTACTGTGTGTTTTGCTTCATGTTTTTTTAACCATACCATCTCAAGTGAGAGTCAACCTGATACCTCATATTTTTAGCATACATGTTTTTCCTCCTACACTGCTCTCCTCATCAATAATCCAATTTGTCAGTCAGCTGCCATCAATCATGTCAAACCCACCAACCACCATGATGAGAACAAGCCTACCCCGGTTCCAATGAATTCACTGTCCTCCATAAAAGAGCAGCTAGGGCAGAGGGGGCTCACTGAAACAGCCTGCAGCTCAGTAGCAGCCTTTGCACGTGCAGAATACCAAAACAAAACAAAGTGGTCGGTCACGTTTTACTGACCTTAAAGGCAAACTTGCGGGTGATGTTGTCTGATGGCTCCACTCCTCCGACTCGGAAGCTGAGCAGTGGCAAACTTCCCAATACCGTGTCCTCCTTCTCGTCTGCAAAAAAGGAAATATCGTCATGACAACGCACGCCGGCAACCTTGGCTGATGGATAGCGATAACGTAAACAATACACAAAATCCAAACTAAAAAATCATTTAGTAAAATCCTGCGTTGAGAATTCTCATTGAATGACCTGCTTCAGTGCTCTCTCAATCGTCTCTCCTCTGCTGACAGCTCTGAAGAATAATGGTCCAGGAGTCTAGTGATAAGCAGGCTTTAATGGCTTCTACGGTTAGACGCCAGTGATATCCAATACTCGCGGTGAGAGGAAGAATAGATATCCGAAAGCCAGCTTTAGAGCCATTTCAAAGCCTTTGTCTGGGGCTCTTGTACATGCTTGCAGTCAGTAAGCAGTAGCAGCAGCGTGTGTATTTATGAGTGGGTGTGTGAGTGACAGAGAGGGAAGGAGACCAAACCAAGGAGAGGCAGGGCTGGGGGAGGGGTAAAACTGGCTTGTGCAATCAGCAAGTACGCCTCGTCCTAGGTCTAGCGCGCGTGTGTGTGTCTATGTAAGAAAGACCTGCCCATGTGACTCAGTGGAGAAGGAATCTTGGCAAGCAGCCCAAATGTACCTGCTCCTATAGTCTGTGAACCTGCAGCCACACACAGCCGGAGACAGTAATACGCTTTGGCTGCCTTCCATCATATTATTAGGTTATAACCATAGAAACCCATTGTGTACAATCTCTGAAAGGATGCATGATCATACAGGAAGTAAATAATGGTAGTGTTGACAGTGGAACTCAGTATAGACCTGGAATCCTAATGATTAACTCACTGATTCATGTCCACTAGTAATTTATATCTACTTAAAATGCATTAATCACAGCTGCACGGTACACGGAAATGAAGTGTTATCTCAAAATCAGGATGTGTAATATCTTAAATGATTTATTACATTAACCCTACAAGTCTTTTTAGGATATTTCCACTCAAAATCATTGTATCATCATTGCTCAAACAGACAATATTACATCCAAACACATCCAGACTAATATACAACATTATATATTCCTATAGGTTCCTTTTGCTATAGATTGAGCAATAGTAAGACAGCTATTGTTATTTTATTTATAGTCAAGTAATATGTATTTCTCTGTCTCCTTCGGTATCAGTTCATATCAGGTATGGGCAGATAAGTCAAAGTATCAGCACTGGAACAGAAAAAGCTAGATCTGTGCATCTTTAAAGGTCAGTAATGTAAAAATAAACACAGAAGTAAGGAAAGCAACTGATGGCAATTTGGATATAATATTAATTTCTGATGGTGTGTAAATGTTTAAAAAATATACATGTTTGATTGTTTCTGCCGGGAAAGGACTTTTTATCTTCTTTAGTTATCTGCAGTCCTCAGAGGTACAGGGGATATACTACACAAGCAAACACAGTATGCTGATAGTTTCATCCAACACCTACAGTATTTTGTGTGTATTTTGTCTCTTGTAACTCGTCTCTGCAGTGTAACTGGAGCTAAGAGCACATCTTCATTGCAGGGTCACTAGAGTCTGTTTACCATTACAACACTGCTATGCAGTGGGAAATTACAATCTGACTGTATAAGAAAATACCTCATTAGGTTTCACCTGGGAAACAAAGTGACAATTTCCAATATTTTTAAAACAATGAATATATTAAAGCGCCCATATTAAACTATTTTCTGATCTATATTATAATATAATACTATTTCTTCATCACAAACACGGAGAACCTGGAATTGTGTTTTGTTTCATTCACACATATTTAACACACAAACCATGCATATTTAGAGTTCTTTTCCCAAACAGAAAACACGACGTGGCAACACAAGAAGTGCTCCACTGTGTTTTTTTTTACTCCATACACCTTCACTAGAATCATTTGGACAATTTCAGCCCTGGAATTGCTAATATCTACTGTACAAAATTTAAATGTAGCTGTTAACTTGAAAACTACTACTTTATGACATCGCAAGGTGGAATAGAGCATTTTGAGCTTTTGGAGACAGACTAATAAACCACTATTGGGTCCGGTCAAGTGGTAACGGAGGGAAACAGGGGCAGATTTTTGACATTCAAATAGCTCTTATTCAGAAACTAGAGGGACTATTGAAATAAGTAAAGTATCAGAATGTAGGAAAGAGTTACACTCCAACAGGGTAAAGTTAAACCTGTGATATTCTTTCAAGTTGTTGACAAAAAATTTAAAAACTCATGTCGGTAATGGAGGGAATGAAATATGCAGCACTTTTTGGGCAATAAATACAAACTGATAACTAGTGGTTCTCACTTCCATATCCTTAACAAACTGGTTTGAATATTTGCTTCATATAGTTTTCTACCATATGGTACAAGATTAGGTTGAAAAACCTCTTACTTTTTGACTCATGAGATTTTTTTATTAAGAAAGGTCATGGTAACAGAGGGAAAAGTAACGGAGGGAAAATTGCGCAAGTAAGTAGAAGGTGCATGATTTTACATACATCAGCTTTTTTCTTCCCAATACTTTAATATTACTTCAAAATGAAAGGAAACTATTTCTATATAATATGTCAGTCCTTCCAAGCAAATTTTTATCATTTTAAATATATATATTTTTTAAATCATGTACCTTCATCAACAGTTCAAAGATGGAATAACACAAGATATGATGAAATACATCCATTTATTTACATGATTTGCAGGTCTTTGAAATTTGGGAAATAATTTTTGTTCCATGTTTCATACATGGTCTGTTTAAAACATATGGAACTTCAGAACCAAAAATGGTACAGAAAAAAGGTCAACAGTTTCATAAACTAGAGAATATGTTCTATCTGTTGAATACATTTTTATATCAGATGCATTAACTTGAATTTTTGGCCTTGCTGTTTACTTCTGCTTGACCGGGCCCTATTACTCACATGTGAATGAAACAAACACAACTCCAATATGATTTACAGCTCACAAGAGTAAATTTTGTGTAATATAAGCTCTTTAAACTATTACTCTTTAGACATTTCTGATCTAGAATAACACTGGCTGTCAGTGTGTGGATGGGGTATTGATCAAAACATTTATCACTCCACATTACATACACTCAACAGGCCAAACGATTTGCTATATGCAGAAATCTGTGAAATTACATCATTATTATTAGTATAAGTATTGATTGTTCAATTTAACTGTTATGCTGTTTACTATTATTAATTGCTGTAATATCTTATAATACATTACAAAATAGGCAATAGCAACATTATTAGAACGTAATAAACATGCTTTGCTCCTTTGCATCATAAACAGTGACAAAAGTGACACCACCCCGTATTTTTAATTTAATTGCGATCAACCTCATGTTCCCAGGGGAATAGTCAAAAGGCCCCTTCTCCATCTGCCACCATGTGAGAGAAACAGTAAGGTAGTGGGGGAGCTCAGTCTCGTCATAGACACAAAGCAGAGAATAGACGTGTTTAATTATCAACTCAGTTGCTTATGGTTAAGGGTCCTATCTTACGCTAAACTAACTCTTGTGAGCTTTTAGCCATGTTATAATGTTGTTGCCCTGTGATTTGTTCCATTCACACATGTTTGAGTAACTGTTTATTATTAGTCTGTCTATGTCTCCAAAGTTCAAAATGCTCAGTGCCACCTTGTGATGTCATGAAGCAGTAGTTTTCAAGTTAATAGCTACCTTTTGCCTTCAGTTCAGTAGAGATTAGCAATTCCAGGGCTGATATCATCCAAATGATTCTAGTGAAGGTGTATGGAGTTTAAAAACACAGTGGAGCACTTGCTGTATCACAACATGATATCACAAGATGGAACAGAGTTTCCTGTGTGAGAGAAGAACTCAGCCTAAATATGCAGGTTTTGCATGGTAAATGTGTGAATGAAACAAAACACTGTGGGTATGTTTGTGATGAGGAAACAACATTATAACATGGCTAAAATCTCAAAATGATACATATTACATAATATAAAAGCTTTAAAATGAAAAATAATTCATGTAAGTCATTACATTAGTGACAGTCTTTTGACACTCTATAGAAGTAACAAGTCATGGTGTGTGGACAAATACAATCTGCCCAAACAGTACTGTACAGAAGATCTTACACATGAATGACCGCTGCACATGGCCTGAGAAACAGTGAACACAAATATCTTGGGTCTACTGGGAGAAGCGCTACATGTAGAGTCTTATGGAGAGGAATTTTAATAATGTATAAGAACCTTTTATGACAGGACATTTATAGCCAAGAACAAGAATAACTGTGTTGCTGTTTTCACTGTTGCTATGCTCTCGTGTACAATGAAACTCTGTTTTTGAGTACAGTCGATTCAACGCAACACCAAGGGAAATAACAAGATAAATACTTCCCACAATAATCCCAAACTCCACACTGTCTTTTTGGAATTAAGGTCCCAACTTGGGTGAAGGGTTACTACACCAAATATCATGCATGCCTCAAAGCCACTCAGTGTTTACGGAGTTAATTTGTTCAGTCAGTGTGAGAGGAGAGGAGCGTGTATGACCTTTCCCATGCAAACAATACACCCCATCCGCATACAAGCAGAATGGAAAATAATTTTATGGACAACACCTTTAAAAAGCATTAACGTTAACTAATTTAAATACACAAAACTATCTATTTACTTAACATAGCAATGCACATTATTTTCTTTCCTACCTTTCTTGAGAGTCCCACCACAATAATATCAATTATGGTGTATGGAAACACTGCACAACTTTTCCGGAGGAGGGTTCACTACCTCCTTGTCTCCATGAAGATGTTATTGCTTTTCCTAAAATGTTCCATGGTATGACATTAAACATCTAGCATTTATTCATTACGGGTATTTCAATTGCTCAAAAATACAAAAATTTCTTCTGTGAATAGAGGCAACACTCCAGAGCCCTGAATTGTAATGTAGTGTAGTTCTGTAACCTGGTTGTCTCCTTTGTGATAAATAGGGTTAATCTACATTGTGGAACATTCTAGACAAAGCAATAGCATTTCCATGGAGACAAACAGGTGGCGGACACTCCACTAAACATGTCACAGAGTGCATCTTTAGGTTGTTAAAGAGATATAAACAACAATACTGAAACTACTGGCACAAAAGCAAATATACCACAAGATATATGTGGATTTATTATTTTAATATATCAGATCATTGTTAAAATCAATTAAATTTTTTACAGTATTATTTGACTCTTGATACATTTTAGACAAATAGTCAGTTTGTGATGGAAAATAGAAGAAAGACCAACCTCTGTAGTAGAATAGACATCTGTCAGTGAGGACAAACCAGCGCTTGTTCCACTGCTTCACTCCACTGCTGCCCTGTACCACACACACAACATGCACCATCACCAGTGAATTATTCTTTTCATTAAATTATTTGTGGGAAACAGCATTTTAAGATACATTGTAATAGTTCTAAAATAATTATCTAATTTCAACAGTGAGAAATACAGTGACAAAACATGCAAGTTGATAAAATAAATTACTGGTGATGTGTGATAACCAACCAAAAAATAAAATTCAAACATATAATGCTGAATGGGATACAATGTCATTATAAACCAGTTTTTATGATTATTTTTTTGTTTTAGTTTTCATTTTAATTTATTTATTTACTTATCAGGGACAATGCACATCAAAAAACACTGACCTACACAAGAGGTAATATAGCAGGCTAGGTTATAGCAAGATTGCTTATTCCCACCTTCAGTCCCTGGATAGGTTGATGTCATAAATAAATCATATCATGCAAGTAAAATACAATGTATATTAATGCAATTATTGATCCAGTCAATCAATAAGTAAAACTATAGTCTCCTTAGACATCAGTCACCACATCCATTCACTATTTACTTTCTGGTAAAGGAAACTCTTTGGTTGAAAGTAGACAAGTAATTGTGCTCTGACCTGCTTGTACAGCCAGCCTTGTTTTGTGACAACAGCTTTGGGATTTCTGCGCATGGAGTTGGAACGTTTTCCAAAAGAAGCAGCTTTCCGGGGCGTCCGAGAAACCTGCAGGCAGGAAATAGAAAGAAAATTCAGTGTTATATTTGTGGGCAGTTGTTAATTTGATATATATAGTATAATAAAGTCTATTCACTGTACACTCATATATTTTTGAATGATTATATCTATGCATTACCCATAAAAATAGTACTGTTCATACATGTAAATTAGAAAAAAAAATCTTCTTTTGTCTAAGATTTGAGTCTTAGACTATTTTTTAACTTTGGTGTTTTATTTTAGTAAAACATTTGAACAGGCTCTTTCTCACAATGGTAGCTTACATAAGAGTTGAGCTGAGTGCATGGGTGTGTGTGTTTGTTTGTGTGTGTGGTGTGTGTGGTATGTGCGAGTGTGTGTGCGTGTGTGTGCGTGTATGAGCGTGTACTGACCCGGCTGTAGGGCTGGTTCTCCTGGGACACCTCTGAAACCATGTTGGCACTTTTGGAGTGAGGGAGGCTTCCAGCAGCAGTGTTCCCATTCATGTCCAGATCACACTGCCTGCACACAAACACACACACACATATGGTATGACTCCTCTGTACACAGTCCATGCCAATCTCTGAATTCAACTGTCATGAAATATACACAAGTAACATAACAGAGCAAAAGTATTTTCATTCTTTATGTACCGTATATATTTATAAGTGGCTGCTATTGAAGCACCACAGGGTAAGACTAAGGTAAACTTAATGGTGCATTGCATAACTTTTCTGCTGAAGGGTCCATCAAATGTTTTTCTCCCTGGAGATTGTTTGGAATGTTCACAGTATGGCATTAAAACCTTCTATCTTCATGGAGGCAAACCAGAGCTATTTTTGAGCTATCAACCTACTTGCAAATTAATAAATGTAAGATAAAGCTGTTTAATGCCCCTATCCCTGGAGACAAGCAGGTGACAGACCACCAACCAAAAATTAACATAGTGCACCTTTAAGCAAAACATTACCGCTATCAAATAGAATGAAAATTCTATAAAATTCAAAAATGCCTGTCTTATTTCTAAAAGTTTGCATGGGCTGCTAAACCACCACTACATTACATCCAATACAGAACCTCAGCATCAGGAACCACCAGAGCGATAAGCAGAGGAGAGGTCCCTGTGAGACAAACTAATTTGGGTCAAAATGTTCTATCTTACAAGGGCTATGTACAGTGAAAAAATGTTTGTGAGTGAGGCCCCCTGTGAGCACATTTCATAGCGAGGGTGAGAGCAATAAATTCAGCACTTTAAACTATGTGCAATACTCTCAACACTTTAATGTATGTGCAATACATTAGCTGATTGTTAGGTATTTTAAGGCTGTCCAGGGATGTGCAAAGCTAGTCCCTCCTAACAGTAGTTCATTTGTTAACCCATTGCTATGGTGATGCTCACAGTGTAGTGATATAAAATAGTGATTAACTGTCATCGGTCTACCTGGGCAGTTATACAAAAATAATGCATAGCAGATAACATTGGAATTCTCACTGACCATGGTATAACACTTCTTAAAGCAAAACACAAGAATGAAATGTAACACCTCCACCCCTGAGTTTGTGGTTATGATTTGCTCCTGTCTGCCCTGTTCTGTGTTCAGTCTGCTGGCGTTTCATTTTCTGTGATCCTAATGTGAAATTCTTGTTCCAATGTTTGTGATATTGTTTTTGTGTTATGTGTTAAATGTGATTTTAATGATCATCAACCTGTCCAGGGATAACAAATGGAAAATATATTTACATATGATAGGCTTACATATGTTCATTAATATGTAGTGTCTCTTTTTCAAATAAATAAATAAATACACACATATATACATGACAGTTGTGTTACTGGCTTGTGTGTTATCTCATGGCTACTTTACCTTGTTTTAATATTTAATCATTCAAATATATTAATACACATTTATCAAAGTCAACATTAACCACTATGAATAACCCAAAAGCCAGACGAACAAGTGACACAAGCGCCCCCTTGTGCTTATTGAGCTCGCCCCATCATCAGCAGCACTATGCTCATCAATAAATGCCTAAATTGGTTTTAATCATTATATTAAAGTAGTATATGTATACATGCACTGTGACCAGAGACCATATTGTTGCAGATATGACTCAGTCAGGAGCATCTGCAGCAGGATGACTGAGCGGGAAAACACACCCACCACCATGCAACATGTCAGGTCCATGCAGCAGCGCGGGTTAAGAAGAGGACAGGAGCAAACGCGTGCACAGTATTTTCTCCAGCTTCAGAGTAAGAGGATCACTTTGTTAAAATAAGCAAAAAGTTATATTCTGATGGTTGTAACTTTGGCAAGTGCACTATTTTGTGCCTTCTGTGTCTTTACCGAGGGAGACTGTTCTTCTATGAGATGCTTGAATGTGCTTTCGTTTCTGAGCTGGAACTGTTTCATGTTAAAGCAAAATGCTATTTTTACGCCTCTAAACCGGTTTTCCATCCTCACTGTCCCAGCTCCAACGCAGTGGATTGATTTTATTGTTTGCTGCACTCGTATCGACGCTTAATTTCCTGTTTATGTGTTACGTCATCGAGCAGACCCAGGGAAAACCCGGTGCGGATTTTGGGACACTGTCCTGGAGCGTGTTCCAGCTCTGAGCCACCGCGCCTACTGTGCGCTGTAATCCCTGCTGGTCAAATTGGATTAGATTTACCAAGGCTGCAATGCTCTTTGCTGCCTTGTGTTGGCCAGCCCAGAGGACTACGCATTCTGCCCATTAATAGCTTATTAGTGTAGGCCAAGCAAGAAGCAAGAAATCAACCAGTGAATCAAAATCACTCTGCTCCATCCATGTGTTATAGGCCTACATCTAAATATCACATAAGCAAACTAAACCTTTACATCACTGCTGTCAAGACTAATTACTTAGCCCTGAAGATGAATCTACTCAAAATGTGTTCATTTATTTAATAAAGCCTTCTTTTTCTGAACTGTTATTAGGTTCATTGGAAGTGCATACACTGGCCACTGCATATTACAGAGTTCCAAGTAAAATATTCACAGTGTTAAAATCATTGCTTGCGACCTACAGCCAGCATACAATGAACATACTTCATCTCTGACTGACAAGAGAGTATTGCAATGATATCGCCTGTGTCAAATAGTCACATTTTAGTAAACCAATAAGAACAAAATAGTTTAGGAGTTTGGGAAAAAAGTTGCACCTGTATGACCAACTGAAGTTGGTGAGTGCATATTGCAAGTTACTTCATGGGAATAGTCCAAGTAAATTAAAATAAGAGTTCCTATTCAGAAGTCCGTGCTCTAGCATGGTTTGCGATTCTTTAAAGCTCCCATTTATCACTCCTACTGTAAAGTATTCCCTTCCATTGACTGCAGCTCCAGCCCACACACACGCACACACACCACTCCGCTCTGAGGACTTTCCCTGAGCTTCCATCTGGCTCTGCATTGCAGTCCTGTCTGACCTCCACATATTGTTTAGCATCTGTCACACATTAACACTATCAGCTAAATCCATCCTGCTTACTCATATCTGGCACTGTCTCTCCCGTGTGGGTGCACTAACCTCACTTTGCGGTCCGCTCGGAACTTGAGCATCCTCCTCTCGGATAAGGCACATGGGACGGTGGAGCAGGGAGACAGAGGATAGGCTGATGTGCACTGCTGTCTGCTGCCTCACCACTCCCTCTCTCACTACACATAGGCTACATAATTCTATCATCAGGGTACACCGCCTCAGCCTACGTCAGCTGGGCATGGCTCCAGTGTCCCACCACCAGAAGAGGATCAGCTTGTTCAAATAAACAAGGGCATCCCACCTGTATTCATATCCTGTCCCACTCAGTACAAATTGACAGTGATGAGATGCCTCAGATTGCAGTGTGTATACCATAATATGTAATACACAAAACACTCATATCAACCATATATTTATATGACTGCCTCTCCTCAACCAAAGAAATGCAAATCTCAAAATACCACCTAGGCCCAAAGGTAACCATGTATCAGTGAAATGACGTGGTGAAAGATAAAAAAAAAATGTTGCTTGAATAAACTCCATCAATTGTTGCTAGTGTTCACAGATTTCCACAAATATTATGCTGCTATCCATATGGCAGTAGACTATCAGATTAGTAGATATTTGTTCTAATAGTGTCCATATGTCCTGACAAATTATTAAAATAACATTCAATAATAGGCCAAGATTTTGTACAGAGATGTGCTCTATATGCTGCTGCATGCGCTTACGTAATGTGTACAAATGTTAACTTCAAGGCTTCCACATGCTGTCTAAAAGAAAAAAAAAAAAAAAAAAAACAAACATACAAAATAGTTAGGGATAGCACAGAAGCTTTAAGCTCTCACAGCAACAGATGAAGTTGAAGATATCCATATGTGAATAATTAATGACTGGTGTAAACAGATAAACAATGTAACCAATTACGTCATAATTCAAACGTTTTTATGACTTACATATAATAGTCAAGATACACCTTTAAAAATGACAACACACGCATTGTATCACTGATTATGTAACGCCATTCATCACTGGTATATGACAGAGTCCCTTGTTGTTACTGTAAACGTGTCTTCTTACCTGTTAACGCTGCTCAAACATGCTGCTGCCAGGGTCTGCTCAGCGCCAAAGCTCCACTGGCCACTTCTTTCACCATTTGACTAGTCCTTTAAATCCTCCGAGACTTGAGCCGAGGGCCGATCTGACTGTTACTGCACAACGACACGGGCGAGCGCACTGGAGGAGAGGGAGAGAGAGATGGAGGGATGAATGGATGGAGGGAGGCAGGAAGACTAAAGAGCACGGCCGACAGCAAATCCCAGGGTATTAGCGGGTCACATGACCTAGTCCTCCCCAGCATCGCGCATGGAGCAATCAGAGCACACTCGCTAGGCACGTCTCATCAGAAACACAGTAAAATGCAGAGGTGCGTAGGCCTCCTGTTCCAGAAACACGTGCTTGTTTGATTTTGTATAGCAACACACAAAATCAGTACAATGGTTGTAGGAAGCCACTGTGCTGTGCAGTTTGTTGAAGTGTTGGAGAGAAATTGCCTATAGCTATATATTTATTAAATAAATTAAACAGACCTAGTGTCCTTTATGAGCCCAAATGCTTCATGGCATATCGAGGGCGCCCTCAAGAGGACAAGAGCTACTTTTTTGGATGTGCTGCGTGCTTTATTTTATACTTTATTTTTTCTAGAACTGTCATCAAAAAATTGCTGCAAGTATTTTAACCTTTGCTAGCTGATTTTAGGTAGGTTATTAGCATATTTAGTCTTTTTAAAGCACGCTGTAAATGACCAGGGTTTGTGTAGGCTGCCACATTGTTCCGGCAGTGCTGTGGTCTATTAGCTGGAATAGTATGATTGATGGTTAAATTGTTTTTAGAATGTAAAATGTGCAGTTATTGCTCTGTCTTGATCTTTGATGATCTTTATTGGTTCATTGTATTCTACATAATTATTGCCAAATACAACCCAGTGAATGAATGCAAAAAATAACAACATGGTTTCTTATGA